GGGGAGGGATTGCGGAAAAGGAATAGAAAGGGAGAGGGAGAGGGTGAGGGAAGGAGGGGTGGAATGGAGGGTGGAGGGCCGGGATAATAATAGAGGTAAACTTACTGGTGATGATGGTTCGATCTTTGAACATTGGGCTTCGCAGGGTGGTCTGTAATAGCGCATCTGTCTCGACATCGACAGCGGCAGTGGCTTCATCCAGGACGAGGATGTTGCTCGGCGTGAGGAGTGCACGGGCCAATGAGACCAGTTGTCTCTGTCCCTGGCTCAAGTTCGAACCGCCTTCGTTGATGCGCGCATCGAGCTGTCCGGACATGGAGGCCACATGGTCGCGGAGACGGGCGTGGGTGAGCACGCTCCACAGTTCCGTGTCGTCGTGGACGTGGCCGGGGTCTAGATTGTCGCGAACAGTGCCCTCGAAGAGTGCGGCATCCTGTGGGATGATGGCGAGACGACCACGGAGGTCGAGAAGGCCGATGGAGCCAGTGTTGAGGCCGTCGATGGTGACATTTCCTTCGGTGCCCTCGATGATGCGGAAGAGGGCGAGGGTCAGGGAAGATTTGCCGGCGCCGGTACGGCCGACAACACCAATCTTCTCATGTGACTTGATGTTGAGGGAGATGTTCTTCAGCACAAGGTCCAGACCCTGGCGGTAGCGGGTACTGTAGCCGTTGAACGAGACGGCGCCCTTCGAGGGCCAGCTGTTTGGCGGGCGGTTCTTGGAGATGACTTCGGGCGCCTCACTTTGCAAAGCGGCGTATTCGAGAACACGCTCGACGGAGACGATGTTGGTCTCCACTTCGACGGTCTGTCGAACGATCCAGTTCAGGGATTGAGTGATGTTCAGACCATAGCTCATGGCGAGACCCACAAGACCCGCAGTGAGAGGGACACCTGTGCTGACCGAGACAACGGCAAAACCGGCAGCGGCAAGGATAATGATCGATCCAATGAACTCGAGACGTACCGCCAGCCAGCGGTTGGCACTGATGGAGGGGTAATAAGCACGGAGATTGGCATCGACGCGCCATTCGTTCTCCAAGGAGAAACGCTTGGTCTGGCGATACGCGCGAATGGTGCTGATTCCACTCAGGGATTCCTGGAAGTGCGCGTAGACGGGACTGCGGCTGACACTTTCGAGCCGCTTCAATTCACGAGATGTCCGTAAATAGTACTTCTGAATCCAAAGGTAGAGCGCGCCAAGGGGCAGGATGAGCGCGATGAATGCGGGCATACCAAAGGAGATGACGGCCAGGGTAAACATGGCTAAGACATCAATTAGCGACTAGCGTGGTCGAATTTGATATGCGCATGTACGTACCTCGAGAAGCGTTGACAAAAAGCATGTTGAAGGTGCGACTATCATGGATGTCAGCGGTAGGAAATCGACGGACCAACTTCATCGCCAAACTTACGCGAGTACCTCGTCGATGCGGTAGACATCACTAAAGTCATGATGTCAGTGGGGTTGCTTAAAAGGGACGAGCGCGTAAGATGAATTGACAATGCACGAGGCAAAGGCATAAACAACCCAGACAGCGCGAAGAATGGCGGCGGCGATCATGGATAAGGGAAAGTTATTCAGGACGTGCGAGTGTGTGTGTCTGTGTGTAAGAGTGTGAAACATACCTGGAGAACCGATTCAGAATGCGACCGCTGGGGGTAGTTTCGAAAAATGACATGGGCGCCCTCATAACCGCCCAAGCCATCCGCTCGTGAAGTTTGCGCGAAGCCTAGTGTGATCATTGCAAAGGTTAGTCTCAATACTGTTGAGCTAGTTTGTTTTTTACCCCAGGGGGCCTGAAGCAAGGGATTTTCGGGATCTGCCCATCCACAAGCCCCGACGCCGCTTTCGGGAGAGCGCAACAGGGAGAAAGGGAGACCTACCTCGATAGAGCAAAAGATCCACAAAATCAATGTTTGCAGGACAACAAGTAACACCGAGCCAATGCCGAAAGCAAAGTAGATGAGGATATATCGTGCTGCGTCGGGATTCCCTCCGGCCTTGTCGTTCTCCTCGGCCCAATGCTTCAGCCATACGCTGCCACCTGTTTCCAAGCACGTGTCAGCACGTTGATACACGTGTAGCTAGAGGGTATCGTTCCGGAAAGGGATTCATAGTGTGATTCATGGTCGATATTGGCTTGAGTCAAACTTGGCCCACCCGCAGCCACGGCAGAGTCGAGACAGGGACAAACGCAAACACGGCAACAACAAACGGAAAGGAAATGACAGACTCACCGATCCCACTACTCTGCGCTAGAATCATCATTCCGAGGTAGATCGCCACCGCGACAAGATTGCTCGCTTTGGCATACTCCTTGTAGACATTCCACTTGACCTTGCCCTGCTCCGAGTGCTCGGCAGCCTGGCGAGATTTGCTCTTGCCGACTTTGTTATCCTCTTCGTCTGTGATCACTTTGCCTTTGGGTCCACGGAATGAAATGGTCGAAGCACGACGGAGGGTGGTGCCAGTATCGCGACGACGAGTTGCTGGATGCGAGCCGCTTACGCCGTTTGCCTTGATAGGTTCGAGAATGCGATCTGCGGTGTTGCGATTAGCCTTGGCGTCTTCATTGTCGGAATCGGCGTAAGCAGTAGATTCAGAGTATGGACTATCCGGGCTAGTCTGAACAGTGCTATCGTCAGCTTCACTGGCGGCTGAGGATTCTTCGTTTGAAGCGGTCTTGATGAGGTTTGCGATTTCGCCCTTCATTGCCATGAGTTGTTCGTAGGTGCCGCGTTCGAAGATACGACCTTCGCGAAGGAGCACAATGAAGTGCGCTTCCATGAGGACCGGGATAGAGTTGGTGGCGAGAATGCGAGTTTTGCTAGCGAGAAGACCATTGGGACCAAGAACGTTGTCGATGATGTGTCGGCCGACGTGTTGGTCCACAGCGCTGAGAACATCATCGAAGAGGTAAATGTCAGCGCGTGCGTAGACTGCACGAGCGAGCGTGAGGCGGGCCTTTTGGCCTCCAGACAATGAGATACCACGCTCGCCGACTTGAGTCTCATCGCCGTCAGGTAAGCTGGCAAAGTCCTCTACTAAAGCACAGGCGTGAATGGTGCGTTCGTAGAATGTAGGATCCCAACGATGACCGAAAATGATATTCTCGCGAACGGTGGCGTTCATGACCCAAGGGCTCTGGGCAACGTAAGCAGTAGCACCGCGGACGGTGACTTCACCCTTGATTTTGTAAATGTCTCCCAACATGGCTTGAAGCATGCTCGATTTTCCAGAGCCGACGCGGCCGACAATGCAGGACAATTCACCCTTGTGCGCGCTGAAGTTGATGTCGTGAAGCACATGCAGCTCCTCGTTGTTGTCCCAGGTGAAAGTTCCATCACGGATACGGAGGGACTCCTCACCAGTCTCGACAGTCTCGCTTCGAGTAACGGCATCTGCTTGGAGCTCTGGTGCAACGAAATAGCCCGTCAGACGGTTCACAGCAACGCTTGCCTCAATGATGGCTGTGATAACCATTGGAAGGACGGCAAGAGGGAAACCGAGCATATTGAAGAGGGTCAGAGCAGGGAAGACAACATCAGTGCTGAGTGGTCTGCCAGAGGTGGCGACAAAGACAGCAAAAGTCGTGCATGAGACCAAGAAGGGTGCAGAGTTGATGGTAAAGTTGGAGACGGCGGTCACCGCGCCAATTTTGCGTAGAGTGTGCAGTTCTTGGTCATTACGAATGACACTGAGCTTGTTCATAAATGCAGTCGTCCATGCGTAAAGCTTGATGGATTTCATGTTGTTCAGGATCTCAGTCATCAGACGAGTACGAGCATCCTTGTTCTTCATCTGCCGCTTCTGAAGAGTCTTCATCATTTTGGCCACGAAGCCGTTGATGGGAATCATGAGAATCATAACGCCCACGCCCGCAAGCATGCTGAGGCCAAGGAGATTGTATAGAGAGATCATGCACAACGTGATCTGGAATGGTGCGGACCAAAGCTGCTGACCGTACTGCGCCAGATCTTGTAAACGTTGCGTGTCGACGGCCATGTGGTTGACGATGTCTCCAGTGCTCTTGGAGGCACGACCCTCGTTGCTCAGCTTCATTGCCTTGGAGTAAATCATGGCGGTCAAGGAAGCCTTGATACGCATGCCAACCTCGAAAGACCGCTGGAAATACTGGTGCAAGCATGCTGTTTGGCTGACGGATACAGCAAACATGGCCAGCGCAATAGCAACACCCTTGATCGGAGGCTGAGGGGTGTTACCCGCTCGGTACGAGTCGATGAAAGCGATGAGATAGCGTAGCAATTGAGGTTGAATGAAAGCCAGGCAATCCGAGCCAGTCTTGATGACAGCGCCAATGAAGTACGGACCTCCAAACGCGCTGAACATGGCAATCCAGAGACTTGGCTTTTTCTTGTCCAACTCATGCGCCCAAGCTTCCTCAAACAGGACGGAGACAGCCCGAGTAGAGTCAGTCTTTCGAAGATTCCAGAGATCGTCTTGAGTGAGATACTCCTTGTAGCCATACTTCATCATAGGCGTCATCCATGAGAAGGTCAGGGCGGAGAAGATGGTGGCGTTCTCAACAGGACATTCGTCTTCCTCCTCGATCGCATCATAGGCCGATATCTTCTTTGGCACCAGCCATTCGAGAGCAAATTCCACAATGGACAGACCGACGGTGGCGGTATAGACGGCAAAGTATGGGACGTATGATTCGAACAATCTCTGCTCGATGAGAGATCGTAGCTTGACAGCATAGGCGATGATGATGAATAGCCAATAGAACAATGCGACGCCATTTGCGTGTCGCAGGCGCGAGTGTTCCGCATACTGTCCCCATCCGATGATCACAATGCTCAGGACGTTGATGACCGAGGTCCAAAATCGAATATCCCTGAACCAGAAGCCCGGAAACTCTGCAACCTGCAAGCCAGCCTGTGCTACCACCGTGCCCACCAAAGCGGCGAAGACGGCAAATTTGGTGTAGAAATGCCAATCCTTCTCCACCTGCTTCGTTTCCACCTTTTTGTATAACCACCAGACCATTGCCAGGCCAGCGAGAATCCCAAAGACTGAAACGGCGACGATCCATATATCGAGGAAACAGGGTGTGAAATCCCAACGATGTGGGCTCATCGGTCCCCATCCTTCAGAATTGCCACATAGCGCATGATCAGCCGCCTTTGAGGCAGAGAGGTAAGTAGCAGCGAATCTCAAGGCGTTGTTGCTGTCGCTATGTGTGCTGATGATGCCACTGACATTGCTGGCGAGCGTATCGTGCTCGAAGACGAGCTGCTGAGGTGAGAGATTCATGACATGGATTAGACGGGTTCGTAGGCGGAGTGGTTGGCGACGTGGTTGTATATAAGACGGATATACGCGGGCGGCGTGTCTATGACGGCGAAGTGAGACGAAAGAATATGATTGCGATCAGCTGGTGTATATATCCGAGCGAACGACCATGCTCTACTTCCACACAGCAACCGTGGACCAGCAATTGACGACGAACTCGGACGGGCGGCGCGGTGAGAGAACTCAGGTTGGAGGATGTAAGAAATCCCAGAAGCTGCCTATCGGAACTATACTTTGGAGTGGACGCGCGCGCTGCATCATGCATTGCAGGCCTGCGAATAGCGGGAGAAATCTTTAGGTAATCGTCGGCGCTAGTCTAAACTCCGGAGAGTCCGGCCGACCACCGCCAAGCAGAACGATGACATTTCGAGTTCACAGTGACTCACAAGGCAAGACTCAGCTTCGAATTTATTTGCTACAGAGTAAATATCTCGAGAAGATAGATGGACACCCATTGATTGAAAACTGTGCCTCATGGACACGAAGTTGTAACGAGGCGAGGAATGCAGAATCCTCGCTTATACCGGAGCGGTGTGATGACTCAGCACCGTGCATTAATATTATGCTCCGTATATACTTAAGTCTGCAGCTATGCTGTGGACATTCCGACCGCGGAAAAGAAATTCCTTAAAACCTCGTGTAGAGATTAGTCCTATGGCACGTCAGAATAATGCTCAGAATTGTCGAACATGAAGTGTCCAAAACACAATTGTTCATCACTGTGGTGATCGCCAGCGAGATAAGCTTTTTCAATGACCCGCGAGCCGACGTCATGCATTCGGCTATACTACCGGGGCAACTTCACCTCGTCCATCGCGCGGAGGAGTGAGCTTGGAAGCACGTGCCTGACATATCCAATGCGATAGAGCTCCCAATGGTTGAGTAAACACTATCTGTATCACGACTACGATAACATCTCATGTCAAGATCTGATCAGATAACACGAACTTCCAAGTGACGACTACATTTGTCGTTTTGGTCGCGGACAAGATGAGGAAGAACGGTAGTCTGACCAACGACCAAGAGGTCAACTACGCGGCCAATGTCGCCGCGAGAGGTGCCGGTAAGAGAACGATGATAGAAAGCTACATCTCGAATCTCTAGCAATTTCAAATCTGACGCAAAGAATAGTCGTCGGCGCAGCAAAGGTAGACAAAACCTAGCCCAATCAAACACAACCCCAAGACTTCCATTCCCATTCCCGACTCAGTATAAAAGAAAAACAAGAACCAAAACGAAAGCGAAAACGAAAAATCAAGACTTCTCGAAATAGCCATCTTCCCATATAAATCACGATCACTACCACATATACTTCCGTGAATACTGATTGAATTAAAAACAGTGGGGAATTTTCTCCCTCGTCGCCGGCGGCGTAGCCTGGAACTACAGTCCCCTATTCCGCAATCTGACCTTTCAATTTAAAGTGTATGCGTATCATCCTCTCTCCTTCCCTCTTCCATCTCGCTACCACCATCTCCAAGTCTACCCTTAAAACTTCTAACAATACATTTGATCAGATTTCTAGGAATGTCCTTCATGGTGCTAGGCAGCATGATGGAAGCCGACAAACGGCTCCGCGAACACGAAATTCTGGTGAGGAACCAGAAGAAGATATTACGCGATGCGGAGGTTTGGAGGAGATATGAGGAGGACTATCAGGCGCAGGCTTCTGCTTCTTCAAGGGAGGGAAGAGGGAGGGGCGGCGGAGCTGAGAAGGGGAGGATAGATCAGAGTATCCGGAGGGAGGAATGATGGTATTTCTGGTACGATTCGCGAGTTGAAGGAGGAAGGGAGGGAGCCCTGGAGAGTATGCGCGGGTCGTTTGCGATGGATCTGGATTTCGAGAAAAATGTATGTCATGAAGAAGAAGAAGAAGAAGAAGAAGAAGACATGTCTCCGTCTCAGCGAACATGTTGTTGTTCACATTTATTCACATTTCTCTCCCACACAGTAGCGAAACAGCGAATATGAAACTGGACTCTACTTCCGCCTCTCAAGCGCATATGTGTGTGTAACTTCTTTTTCATTGTATATAGACAAAAAATTCGAAAGTGGCGGGTGAAAAAAGTGATCTAAAGAAGGTAGCAAGGGGAGGGATTTCCCCCCAAAGAAGAGCGCCTCTCCACGCTAAAGTTCCAATCGACAGCAGCAACGCTTGAAATAGAAGCCTCCCAAGCAGCAGTAGCAGCAGTAGCATTACGTAGAAGCAAAAGCAGCATTACGCAGTAGGTTTCCTCCGCTTGGCTTCCGCCTTCTCCGCCTCCTTGATGAGGATTTCCAGATCGCCGCTCATCTCACACATACCCCTAAAGACGCCCATGTTCTCGAGAACGACTTCGCCATCGGAGTTTTTCCCATCCTTCTCAAGTAGTTCCTTAGGACAGCCCCACTCGACGACCCTCCCGCGGTCCAGCACTAGGACTTTGTCGTAATCGATGATAGTCTGGAGACGATGGGCGATAGTCAAAGTCGTGTTCTTGATCTCGCGGATGGTGTCCTGGATTTTGAAATCGGTGGCGTAGTCGATGGACGCGGTCGCTTCGTCCATGAGGAGGACTTTGGGGGTTTTGAGTAGGGCGCGGGCGAGGCAGAGGAGTTGGCGTTGGCCTTGGGAGAGGTTGCTGCCGGACTCGCTGACGGGGCTGAGGAGGTTGCGGAAGATGTTTTTGTTTTCGGTGTGGCGTGTCGGGGAGGAGGTGTCGGCGGATGAGGCGGATGATATGGAGGAGGCGCGGGCGGGTTGGTTGTCGGAGCTGGATTTTGGGAAGGGTGTGATTTGTGCGGATTTGGGGAACGTGGAGCTCACGGGTGTGCCGGGCGAGGAGTCAGCGCCAGTGGCTGGGCCGATGAGTTGGACTTTGCGCAGGGCAGTGAAGATCTCCTCATCGGTGAAGAGGCCGAATGGGTCCAAATTGCTGCGAATAGTGCCAGTGAACAATGTCGGATCCTGAGGAACCATGACAATGTTCTCGCGGAGATCCTGGAGACCGATCTTTCCAATGTCGAGGTCGTCGATGAGGATCTGGCCTTCCTCAGCCTCAAGGGCACGGAACAAAGCCAAAGCGAGTGAGCTCTTTCCTGCACCAGTGCGTCCGACCACACCGACCTTTTCACCCGGAAGAATCTTGAAGCTGATATCTTTGAGCACAAAGTCGAAGTCCTTGCGGTAACGAGTGCTGTAGTTGATGAACTCGACGGAACCATGACTCGGCCAGCTGGGCTCCGGTCGGTTCTCGTTGATGATCTGAGGAGCTTCCTGCTCGACATCGAGATACTCCTTGACACGTTCGACAGAGTTCATGTTCTGCTCATTTGCCCCGTACAGACGGACAAACCACAGCACGTTCTCGGTGAAGGTGACGGCGTAGGACATGGCCAGACCTGCAGCTCCAGCGTCAATTCTGCCAACACTGATGATGACAAACATTCCGCTGAAGAAGGAGACCAATGCGCCGACAATATCCACACGGAACGCCAACCACCGGTTCGCTGCCCAAGAGTAGAGGAAAGGTCGAGAGTGAGTGTTGATACGCTGCTCGTTCTCCCGAATGAAGCGTCGCTCATCGCCGTAAGCACGAATTGTCGTCATTCCCGAAAGAGTCTCGCCAAATTGTTGGTACAACGGACTTCGTTGGACCGAGTCCAATCGTTTGAGATCGCGAGAAGCGCTGATGTACAACTTGCCGATGAGGAAATACAAGACGGAGATGAACACGGCAGCGATCAGGAACGCTGGTGTGATGACTGAGATCAACGTGACGATGGTCAAGATCGAGAACAGGCAGTGCACGACACCCACTGCGCAGGGCGCAACTTCTTGATCAATGGCCTCGATATCCTTGGAGAAGCGGTTCATGATCTGGCCGAGCGGAGTCGAATCAAAGAAGCGGAACCGAGCGTGAGTGACAGAGGTCATGAGCTTGCGATGAATGCGTGAGGATGCTTGAAGTGAGCCACCGAACAGGACACCTTCTCTGAGTAGCGTAATGACCATGAATGCGAAGCCCAACGCTGCATAAATTCCCAGGAAGTAGGAATTGTTCACAATTTCATGTGACTTGCTGATGTTCATCGAGACATCCATTGGCTGCTGAACGAAAAGTCCTTCCCAAGCACACGATCCGCTACGGAGACAGTTGTATGATCCACCCACAGTTCCTCTCAGGTAGTTCAAAGTGGAAGTGTTGTAGAGGGCAGAGGTTGAAACAGTCGACTCGTATCGACTGTACTGGTTAGCCCATTGCCTGATCCACCAATTCGTGGAAACTTGAGAGACTTGTTGGAGTGCGAACATAGACAAGCAGATGGTCCAGTAGACAGGACCTCCCATGTATCTCAGGTAGCCGAGAATGACAGATAATTTGACGCTGCCAGTGGCTTTGGCCTCGTCGGACAAAATCACGTCTGCAGCAGAGTTCATGCCTGGAACATCCTTGGAAATGACCTTGGTGAGCGGGCCACCAGAAAGCGTGTCGGGAATCTCCGTGAAGGCAGTAGCCGGCTCCTCCTCGACCAGAGTCTCACTCATAGGATTGTCGCCCCCGATATCAGATGGGACTCGTGATGGAAGAGTAGAAGCGTGGCGAGAGCCAGGTCGCGATTCGAATTTGGACAGATCTTCTGCCAGCTTACCAGAGTTGATGACTTCGTTGGCAGATCCCTGAGCAGCGATTCGGCCGTTCTCCATGACGACGGCAAATTCGGCATGCGGAAGGACAAGAGTTGCGTTGTGAGTGACGAGGATACAAGTACGGTGATGCATCAAGGGACCCATCAGCGCCTTGTCGAATATCCATTTTGAGGTGTGTGCATCAACAGCGCTGAGAACATCGTCCATAATGACATGACGGGCGCGGCTGTAGAGCGCACGAGCCAAGCTGATACGTTGCTTCTGACCACCGGAGAGGGTGACTCCCTTCTCTCCGACCAGAGTCTGATCACCACCGTCGAGGATCTCCAGATCACGCTGTAGGGAGCATGCGACGATGACTTGCTTGTATCTCCTCGCATCCCACTTGCTGGCAAAGAGGATGTTGTCCTTGATAGTGCCGTTGATCAACCAAGCTTGTTGTGCACAATAAGCTACACTCTCGGTAAGACCGGTCGCAGGGTTTTCCACAAGATCGTCTCGGCTGCGACCTCCTGGAAGGTACACTGATCCTTCAAGCTGCGTCATTTCACCCAACAGCGCAAGAAGCAACGAAGTCTTGCCACAGCCAGTAGGTCCAACAATGACGTTGAGCTGACCGACAGCGAAACGCATATCCAGATCAATAAGTTTGAAATCGTCGTCAGTTTCTTCGTGGCTGCCCCAGCTGAAGGTACATTGGTCGAATCCAACGATTGGCTCGTTGTCCTCGTCAAATTTCTTCTGAAGTTGCGTGTACTTCTCCGTTTCTGGCTCAGCGAGATATTCCTCCAGACGATCGACCGAAATCTTGGCTTCTTGAACGTGAGCGACCATGTCTGCCAGCTGATCCAACGGAATCCGCAGCAGACTGAACAGCGAGAGCGCAGTGAAAGCTATTGACGGAACGAGGGGCTTCTTCTCGACCGCAGTGTAGAAGAGGAAAGTGAGCAACGTGATGATCACGGGTGCAGACGACCAAATGGTCGCAGCTGTCGCCCAAACGATGTATCGGTAGCGCAGATGCTTCAACTCCTCGCGACGCTTCTCGTCGATGTTGGCGAGGAAACGTTGCTCCCAGGCGAAATACTTGATGATGCGAATATTTGTGAGGACCTCGTTGGTGGTGTGGATTCGGGCGTCGGTGGCTGCAAGAATTCGCTTCTGAGTTCTGGAAAATTGATTGGCGATGATCATATTGACAGGCAACAAGAGTGCCATCATAACAAGGCCCACGATGCTGCTGGCTCCCAGGATTTTGTACAAGAGGTAGATGGCAAGTGCAAATTGCACGGGCGTCTCAGCCCAGAGGAAATGCAGGTAGGCGCAGATTTCTGAGATCTTGGACGAGTCGACGGCCATCAGATTGATGATTGCACCAGAAGTGACCTGAGACTCGTCTGCCGTCTTTTGAGCAGCGTCAGCTTTGGCCTTGTCCTCCGGGGTTTGCTTCTTTGCCTTGCGGCCAAAGATCTTGTTGAAAAATCCCTTGGTGCTCTCGCTTGCGGTCTTCTTGTCTGCCTCGTCACCGAGAATCTTATCTGAAGTGGCAGCTGTACGACGACGCAAGGCTTTGGCGTAAATCTCACCAATGATGATTGCGCGCAACCGAATGCAGACTTTCCTTCCGATCCAAAGAGCTTGCCCGCTGGAAATGGCATTGATTGCACCAGAAGCAAATAGCAAAATCACATAGAGCCAGGCAGCATTGCGAGGCGTAGATTTGGGATCTTCGACGTATTCCAGGATTGCCTTGAGAAGGAGTGTCGGAACGAATGTAATGACGCCAGAAATGACTGCCCATAGACCTTGCGTAATGAGTGCCCTCTTGTTGTAAGATAAAAGGTGGTATGCCAAAGCCGAAGTCTTCGTGAACTGCCGGTAGTCGTCGAGAATAGCGGCCGCCTTGTCCTTCGGGACCAAATTCCAAACATCTTCCATCTCGTAAACTTTGGTGTATCCAGTCCAGATGACAGGGTCAATCCACGAAAACGTCGCCAAGGAGAAGATGCTAGCCAACGGCTCCCTCGATGGAGGAATGTTGCCTTCGTATTGCAAAACGACAATTTTGTTGCCTCGTCGGGAATTGAGGGAGATCAACGACAAGAGCGAGATGAGTGCAAAGTGAACGATCATAAACGTCTGAGCCAGCTGCGATCGTGGGTGGAGGATTTCCGAGCGAAATGGAAAGATGACGAACATCCACTCGAAGCAGTATAGAAATGCCGTATGGTACCACACTTTCGAGAATGAGAACGTCGAGCTGCTCGGAAGGAGTAGGCGTGAAGAAGTCAACAGAGCGATGTAAACCCAAGTCACCACGCCAGTGATGGCTGCGATCCTGCTCTTGTGCCCCCATGTATTCAGGATCAACCCAGCTAGATGGATTCCCAGAACCGCTAGTACCGCAACCTCCTCTGTCAGGACCAGCAATCGTTCGCCTCTGGGTTTGTGAATGGTCGCTTCTGCCAGCGACACTGATCCGGATTTTCCTGGGCCGCGTGCCATTTGAGGCAGTGTTGTTTCCGACTCGTTGTCATCCTCCTCTTCTACGTCTAGGGTGGCCTCGGAAGACAGACCACTAAGGTCGCCCTCCTCGTCGATATGTATTAATGCGCCGTGATCTTTGAGCTGCGCATAGCTGTGGTGGGTGTTTTTTGAAAGTCGTGCGGCACTGTAGATTTGATAGGAAAGGTAGAGAACGGATATAGCGCAGGCTATTAGCGGAAAGAGTGTCTGAAGATAGTCGCGCTGAAAACATGACGAGAGGTCGTCATAGTGCCATATCGGGCCTTTGCAACGCGCGAACATTGTGAAAGAAGCGCCGGTGCGGCGGGTGTTTGTCTTTGCTGATGTCGCAGTTGTGCTTGTTCGAACCTCACGTTGACAGTGGATGTGAGTGCGTGACAATCAACACATGACTGTATTCGATTTCCCAGACGTAAGGACAGTGGACTCTGACCGAGCCAGTTCGCACGGCAGTCGTCGTGACGAGAGTGCAGCACGCAGAAGGACGAGCGAGCTGAACAAACTTTTGCTGCGAAGCTGGCGTGACGATGGGAGATGATGTGTATATCGGTCGTATAGCTGGTTACTGTGGTCAACGAGATCGGGATCGACTCGCGCCGTATAGTGGTGAGGATGGCAAAAGTATGGTTCCCTTCCTGTTAACGGCAAGAACGACCGTTTGACGGGACTTGGGGGGACGATTATAGTGGAAGCGGTCGTCGTCAGAGACTACCGGGAGTGGGAAGGTTTGAGTACACAGACACACGACAGCTTGGCCGATGCTATATGTTTTTGTGCACTCTTGATTCGACGTTGGACTCAACCAGAGATTCCCGCTATCAGTGGCAGGACAAGAGTAAGGATTCGGTATGGCTTGATCGAGCGGCGGTGGACCATATGATGACCACAATGGTGAGAAGAAGGGCGCCGCCGTCAGCGTGTGCGCGCATCGAATAGTGCTCCACACCCACAAAACTAGAGCGCAGTAGTCGCGGTCATTATTATCCGCCCGCCATCAATCAGCATCATCACCGGAGATAAATAGGGCATGACGATATGACTACAATGCACAACTGTCGTCGGCCGATTCGAGTCCTCCTATAGGCGGACATGATCGGATGAGACGAAGGCGCCCTATGATGCTATGCATCCAGACCTCGTTCATTATCTACACATCTGCGGGGAAGACTCATCTGCCCAGCTACTGCAGGTCTTACCGAACTCTTCATGTCCGCCGGATGATGAGTGATCATGATGGATCATGATGACCCATTTTCAATATACATATACATATATGCGATCGGTGACTCAGAACGAAAATTACCCACGATCAATCTTTTCGCTTTGCTACACCAGAAATCCCCGTCTATCGCTCAGCCGCGTTCAGTCCAATGCCGTCAATACCCTCGGCCGGATACTTTCGCCAAGACCCAAGCTAAGGCTTGAAGCATCCAACCCTTGTTCCATCGCGAGAAGCCCGTCAGCGGGCCACGAGGCGCATTGGGATGGCAAGATCAGAGAGGAGCGAACAAGTTCCATTTGCTCAAACAAAGATTTGATCCAGAAAGAGACGCCGCAACACGGGGCGGTGTTCCGATCGAGCAAGACCGGCGGGACTTTTCTCAATGTCTCATCGTCAAAGCTTCTTCACGGATCGGACTTTTCTCCCTTCCGCGAGATCTCACCTGTTCTGCATCGACCTGACAAAGGTGACCGACAGTGCGAAATCTCGGCTTCATACAATCCACGGTATGTAGCCACCTTTTCAGAATTCCTCATGAATCCGAGACTGGTATACTGGTTGATCGGGACATGAACCACAGCCCATCGGTGGTCCATGAACCGACCAAAACGAAACGTGCATGACTAGACCGTCGCGGCAAGCGGAAAATACATCAAGAGACTTTTTCGCGTGGTCAAGGGCGTCCTCTTAGTTCCGTGTCATGATCCAATCATTGTCAGTTAAATGCATGTAGGTCATCATCAATCATCATCGTGGACATCGAAAAATTCGTAAGTGTGAATGTGTTGTCTTTCACGGCATGCATTGTGCATCACCGTACAAGTTCAGTCAAACTGAAGTGCGGCCATGTGCCTGAGAGCTTTACTTTTCAGGTGGCCAGAACTCGAGCTTCGTCGCCCACGGGTAGACGTCTTCACCTCGAATATGACTCTTATGACTCGCATCATTATCTGGCCTCCACTTTTCACTTGCTCTCATGGTAGGAGTCGCATGAACGCGGCTCAAAACCCACTCGCTCAATGATGTTATGTGTAAGTGGCGCGGTGTCTGATCTGGGAGTAGTTTCGTCGAAACGATAGGGTTACCAATTTTTTGAACCCCAACCAACCAAAGCTGCACCACCACAATCAAAGATCCTGCATCTGCGAGCTACACAGGTATACATGTCCTGTACCGCTGACGACTTTTATGCACAGGGCGCAGGGCGCAATTCACAGAGGGGCCATCTCGCGCATGTCGAACCCCCGATCTGCACTGCACGCTCTACATAACACCCTGAGCAATAGCCACAAAACCACGTCACGTTCGGCAATTGCGTGTACCAGAAGCAAATACCTACTATAGGGCACGAGCTCCTGGCATGTTGAAACATCCAAGGTTTTGAAATACCGAGACAAATGTCCTCGGAGCGGTCTTCCGGGTCAGGACATGATCAGATAAGTCTCTGCACTCATACATAATGACATTTCTTACCGTCGTCTCCGGTGGAGAACCAGTGTTCATTCGATCAGATAAGTGAATTCATTTCCTTGTACCAGGTTCGGGAACTGCGCGGAAGGACACGATGTGAGACACGTTGTTGTTTTTGTCGTACTGTCTGATCCGAATATTGGGTAACGGGCGTTCAGACGTTTTCAGATCAGATAAGTATTGGCCTCCCACCTCAACGTGATGAGCTGTGTGACGATCGCACTCACGGTCATGGATCTGATAATGTTGTCATTGTTGATTGATCTCTTGAGCGAGTTATGATCGGTTGTTGGATAGCTTGTTGAGATGTATCGGACATGCGGTCAAACACCGATGGCCCCGGGGCCCTGTCCAATCTGATTGACGAACATCATGATGAGTAGTGATGGTTGAGATGCAGAATGATTTGCTACAGTTTTTGTTTGTACACAAAGTAAACCAGACATGCGAAACTTCTTCCTTTCCCGACTATCGTCTATGTATGCCACAAAGCAAATCATCCCCAGATGCAACGTATTGTCATTCACCAATGCATCACTGCCGCACTTGCGTCACACTCATCGCGGCGCAGCGACTGGTGTCCAGGCGGAGAACTTGTTCTTGACCCTGTAGTGTTTTCATCAGCCTTCGTCCTCGCTATTCTCACTGGGCTATTAACTCACGTGCTGTACGGCTTGTATGCGCTTCGGGTAGCGGTCAACACAGGTCGGTGTGCCGTCGGCTCCCAAGCGCGGACACCACGCTGGAGGAGCTTATCCTCGCTCGGTGGCTTGTCGATCGAGTATGAAATCCATGCGTGCCTAACGGGGTATTCTGTCAGAGAGTTTGTCCTGGCATTAAGCATGTTTGAGCTCGAAATGCCGAGGAAGAAAGTCGCTCACCAGCCTGGCTCTATTTGTGATCTGTCAAGATGTCAGCATGCATATCTCATAGATCTCGCTTTGCGAAAAGCGCCAGGTGTCCTGCCACTCACGGGTCAAACTCCCAGTCCTTGTAGTCCACCCATCGTGTCCGTACTGCGCATTGTTTCTCAGTTTCCACTTCTTCTCATCCGGTGCCTTGCAAGAATATTTCACGTACGAGGCAATTCCTCCTCCATGTTCTCGAAGTATTTGTTTCCGTAGCTGTCCATGCCGATCAAAGTACCGCGCTTGGTGTCACCTATCCTTCCTCTCAGCGGCCAATCTCGGTATCATCCTTTCCAAGTTTCCTTACCCATGTGCTACAGATCGGAGCGAGGCATGATGTCAGCACAAAGCTTTTCGGTATATTTCCGTGCGGCGCATAAGACTGCAGGCCATGATTGTATCGCCGCGTACCTGGATTTGGTGGCCATATTCCTAGTGCGCGTCAGCAAGTAATTCGGATTTCAGCAGATCATACGACGCGCAGTACCTTAAGGCCAATGCTGCGCAAATTGCGAAGCGTCCGGAGAATCGTCGACATGGTGAATGGCTGTCCTCTGGAGCTCTACAGACCAATGTCCGTGGATTGAAGAGCTGCTGGTTATCGGGTGACGCTGGAGAAGCATTGAAGGCAAAAGTCGTTGTATGGGGTCATATGTTCTGGCTTGCGGCTCTTTGACGCGTCCTTGCCGAATAGGGTAATTCGACGACGACGAGTGATATTAATCGACGATATCCATACACATCAATGATCACCAGACGGGTGCCGACGTGCTTGCGACTGGTCAAGAGACATTCGAGAGTCTCAAGGTCTCAAAGAAATGGCTGGACCAATGCCCGGTTTGCGAGCACCTCAGCTGGCGCCGTGCCGATGACGCCCCTGCAATCTACGGCTTCGCAGCTGGCTGTAATAACAAATGAGCTGGATAAGCTCACGCCTCGATTCGAAATATCTGCAGATGCCGTTGAGATTCTGCGAAGTCCAAGCGAATTCTATACTGCGCTAAAGGTACATTCCTGATGATATTCTAAACTACCGGAAGTAAATGACTTATCGGCCTTTCAGACCAGGATCCGAAATGCTAAACGGCGCATCTTTTTATCCACATTGTATATTGGCAAGAGCGAACATGAATTGGTATGCTTCCGAGAAAGCTGCTAGCCATGAATTGCGCTGACCGATTCAAGATCGATACCGTTCGAGAAGCGCTCAAGGCAAATCCTAATCTGCAGGTATCCTTTCTGACCGACTATCTTCGCGGGACGCGCGAAGCCCCCAATGCATCATGTGCAAGTCTGCTGGCTGCCCTGATCAAAGAATTTGGATCAGAACGAGTAGAAGTCCGAATGTACCATACGCCAAATTTGACCGGCCAACGGAAAGCGCTCGTTCCGAAGCGCATTAACGAAGGCTGGGGCTTACAGCACATGAAGCTTTACGGAGTTGATGACGAGATCATCATGTCGGGTGCCAATCTGTCGAATGACTATTTTACGAATCGTCAAGATCGGTATCATGTCCTCAAGTCTGGAGACGTCACAGAGTATTTCGCCACATTATATCGCACAGTGTGTGATATGAGTTACCAGGTCCTACCTTCCGAGGAAGAAGCAAGCGGATTCGAAATGCAATGGCCACAAGCAAATCTGCAGCCATCACCTCTTGACGATCCGAAGAAGTACATAGAAGCCGCTACCAAGGCCATTACGACCAAGGTGCAAAGCAAACCCCAGAAATCTCTTGCTGCTGATTCGTCCTCAGACACCTTCATCTATCCGCTATTGCAATTGACCCCCCTGCTCAAACCAGATACATCCACCGAGCTCCCAGCTGTCACGGGAATCTTGCGAACGCTGGGAACATCAGCGTTTGCAGGCTCAAAATGGATGTTCACTGCCGGCTACTTCAATATGACGCCCGAATTTCGTCAACTACTACTGAATACCAATCCATCCTCCGCTGTGGTCGTCGCTGCTTCACCATGGGCGAATGGTTTCTATGGCAGCAAGGGTGTGAGCGGCATGTTGCCGGCAGCATACACCCTCCTTTCGCGACGCTTCCTCGCCTCCGTCGCAAAGCTCGGTCTCGATCAGCGCATCACTCTGAAAGAATGGCGCTTCGGAACCGTCAACACTCCGGGAGGGTGGACCTACCACGCCAAGGGTCTGTGGATCACGCTCCCCGGTCAAAGCGATCCCTGCATCAGTCTAATTGGAAGCTCCAACTATACCAAACGCAGCTATGCTCTCGATCTGGAAGCCAACACACTCATTGTCACGCGGAATGCGGATCTCCAGCGTCGCCTGGGTGAGGAACAGGCTTGGTTGCAGGAACATGCCACGCCGATGACGCGTGATGATTACACGACCACGGAGAGAAGAGTGGGTCTGCATGTTCGGCTCGCCATGTGGCTTGTGACGGCGCTGGGAGGCGCTTTGTGAGCGTCTTTTCGGAAGGCGTTCCAACAACGAGATTTTCAAGATGCGAAACTTAATTTGTACTATAGAACCTGCACCCATGACAAGCACGCGATTCTGATGAAAGACTCCGCCTGTTGCCAGGATTGACGATCCCTTTCATGATGCGTAGCAACCGCTCTTTCATCATGAAAAATGCGCTGCACTCAACTCCTGAAAATTTGAACCCTAATCATTGTTACACAAACTTTTCAACCTCACCTGCTGATTTAGTATAGTGATGCCGCGCATGCTCGTGCTCGAATACGTCCTTGAAAGGAGAGATATCAATCTTCGTTCATCCATGATCCAGCGATTGACAAGCGAACAAAGAAAAGGGCAAATTATTGAAGTTCCGTGGAATGTAAATCCATCAAAGAGCATCCTTGCGCGGCCCGTTCAGAGCATTCAGGGGTGAATTCCAGCGTGCAGTCATACAAACACGGCCAACTCCAAAAACACGTACCAGAAGCAATATATAATGGCACTGCCTACTCCAAAAACTTCATGTCTTAGACACTACGTCTCCAAACTCTCAAGAAACACAAGACCTCTCTCAACCAATCCAACTCCATCATTACAACAGTCAAGTCACTATGAAGGTCTCCATCCCTCTCTTCTTCGTCCTCACCGACTTCGCTACCGTCCTCGCCGCTCCCTTCGGCGGAGAATTCGCCCGTGATGCAGCTGTCATTGACATCACCACTCGCGACGCTAAGGGAGGCAATGTCTTCGCTCGTCAACCCTTCGGCGGAGAATTCGCCCGCGAAACTCCTGTCACCATCGACGCTCGCGAGCCTACCGGAGAATTCGCCCGCGACGGTAAGGACGACAATGTGTTCGCCCGTCGATCCATCGGAGAGTTTGCTCGCAAATGAGTACACAGCTCATTCTCATGATACCTCCACATTGCAAATAGCAGCGCACGCTGATGCTGGCCAGAACGCCATCTCGCTGCAGCTTCGACTGATCACGCGAATGTGCTAGCCTGGGATTGCAAGGCCTCGGCATCGAGGCACTCTTGATATAGGCTATGTTACAGACATAGTTCCCTGGCATGGTCACGACGAGGAGGATAAGCCTAGATTGTCCTAATGATAGCTATCAGCGCAGGCAATTGATTGGATTCTTCAGTAAATGTCTGCAGTGGCGAATATGCGAAACATTTTTTTTTCGTGCGATCCTACTTGCTAGAGGTTTTGCAAGATTCTTCTAAAGTTGCGTCGTTCTGTTAGACTATCGTGCTTAGAAGTTGAAATCGGCCCCTGCATCCAGAAGCATTTGCACAATCTCTTCATACTCGCCGTTCTCGCCCAATTCGTTTCGCAGTTGTGACGCCAGGTGGAGCGCACTGTAGCCGTTGTGATCTCGAGCATGGACATCTGCACCAGCGTCGAGCAGCATTTTAACAGTCTCCGAAACGCCAGTACATGCGGCTGCATGCAATGCAAGGCTAAACTCATCTTTCTCTGGCTCGAATAATTCGTCATTCCAATTCCCGTGGTATTGCGTTTTCGGATCGTTGACGTCTGCGCCAGCGTCCAGGAGCAGTCTCACGAACGGTATGTCGCAAGTCAGCATAGAATTGACCAGCACTTTACGGTAAGCCTCTTCATGAGGAGCGTCCATGGTCGCTGTCAAAAGTGACTGCACCATATCGGCACGGCCCTTTTCTGATGCTCGAATTAGTGCACTACAGAGGATGTTTTGGTCTGGAGCGTGCCCGAACTGCTTTGAAAGCATTTGAACCACCTTGTCTTGGCCCTCTGCTAGTGCCTCAATTGATGCGATCCTGCAGAATTCTTCTGGTGCGACATTGGGGGTCATTTCTAGGAGTATTTGTACAATCTCAAGGTGTCCATATTCGGCGGCCTTGATTAGTGCTTCCTGGCAGCTTCCTTGACGTAAGACAATTGGGGCCTTCTCCAGAAGCAGCCTCACGACCGATGTGTGACCGTAGTTCACTGCCTGAATGAGCGCCTCGTGATGATTCCCTTCATGCGAAAGATCTGCCGACGCTTCGTTTAGGACTTGCTTGATATCAGCGTGACCTTGTCTTGCAGCGTTGAGTAGAGCTTCCTGGTCGATTTCTTCAGGTAGAGCAGCAGGGGGCATCGCCTCCAGAAGTCGTCCAACAATTGCAGTGTGACCGAATTTTGATGCCGCTATCAGCGCTTCTCGATAGGTTGCATCACTCATTGGAGCATTGACAATTGCGTCCAGAAGCATCCGTCGCACCTCCGGATTGCGACTCCTCGATGCCTTTCCTAGCGCTTTCCGACATATTTCTTCCCGTGGGACATTTGCCGTCGCGTCCAAAAGAAGCTGTACCACCTCCACATTCGCATAATGACCATTGCCTGACGCTCCGACTAGGGCATTTCTCCCGTCGTCGTCGTCGTCGATGAACGTAGGGTCTGCTCCAGCGTTCAGAAGTATCCGTACCACCTCTGTGTGACCCCATAGTGACGCCGCAACTAGCGCTTTCCCATAGATCTCTTCATGATGAACATCTGCCGTCGCATCCAACAGAAGCTGCATCGCGTCCTCATGACTAACGTACGCGTTTGACGCTTCTACCAGCGCGTTTCTTCCACGTCCATCAACGAACATAGCATCCGCTCCAGCTTTCAAAAGTGATTGCATCACAGATGTGTCTCCTTTCCCCGATGCTATTATCAATGCTCTCCCATAAACCTGTTCTTTCTCAGAAGCGTCCGCCGGCACTCCGCCGAGAATCTGCACCACCGTCTCATGACCTCCTCCCAACGCCTCCACGAGTGCACTTCTGCCACTTTCGTCAACTTGCGCTGCATCCGCACCTGCATCTAGAAGCATTTGCACAATCTTTCCATACCCGCCACTTGATGCTGCCTGCAATGCCGTCATATCATATCTAACAGCAGTATTGGCATCTGCTCCTGCCTTCAAAAGCATGTGCACAATCCTCTCATAGCCATATTCAGATGCTACTCTCAGCGCCGCATCGACATCCGCACCCGTTTCAGTCTCCGATGAAAACATCTTCACCTCCATCACAACACCATCTGTGGAGACTGTGTGCAATGCGCTATGGTCCGACCTTCTTGCTTCCACCTTTGCGTCTAAGAGCGAACGGACCGCCGCTTCGTGGCCTTGACGAGCGGCCGCCTGTAGCGCACTACCATAAGCACCGCCTTGAAGGTTGACATCTGCTCCTGCGTCTAAGAGTAATTGAATAATAGCTTCGTGGCCGTTGACGGCGGCCGCCTGTAGCGCACTACCATAAGCACCGCCTTGAAGGTTGACATCTGCTCCTGCGTCTAAGAGCAAATGAATAATAGCCCCGTCACAGTTGACGGCGGCCGCCTGTAGCGTACTACCATAAGCACCGCCTTGAGGGTTGACATCTGCTCCTGCGTCTATGAGCAAATGATCAGTCGTCCGATCATATTCGCCGCCTTGAAGGTTGATATCAGCTCCTGCGTCTAAGAGCAAACGAACAATCGCTTTGTGGCCGCGGTTCGCTGCCGCCTGTAGCGCACTACCATATTGGCCACCTGGAAGGTTGACATCAGCACCTGCGTCTAAGAGTAATCGGATAATAGTCTCGTGGCCGTTGATAGCGGCCGCCTGTAGTGCACTATTGCAGTCTCCGGCTATTTGAAGGTTGACATCTGCTCCTGCGCTTAAGAGCAAACAAACTACCGCTTCGTGGCCGTTGATGGCGGCCGCCTGTAGCGCAGTCCTACAAAATCTACAGCCTTGAAGGTTCACATTTGCTCCTGCATCTACAAGCAAACGAACAATGGCTTCACCACCGGCATGTGCAGCCACATGTAGTGCGGCCCCTAGCCAGTCATGCTGAGCTTCAATGTCTTCTCCAGCTGCGATTAATCCTTGGACAACTTGGTAAAGATTACTATAACATGCAAAAGGAAGAGCAGGGCCCTCAGACGTGCCAGTATAGCGTTGATTGAAAGGGTATTGCCAGGAAGTATCTGGCCTTGAAACACGCAGACTATCGTGCCTGAACGTATCGTTTGTTAGGAAGCGCACTTCTCGAATAGTGTTCTCGTACGTTTGCTCACTCGCGTGATTCCACCATCTTTTCGCAGCATAATGCAAAAGTGGAAAGCGCTCGAGATCTTGTTCTGAAGACAGCTTTTGCGGAGAGTCACTGTAGTAAATGAGATACGCAAGGCAGCTGTGCGTCAGAAATCGATGCCCTCGGCCCGGGTCCAGGTGGTAGTCTCTTGCCTTGCTCGCCGTGATGCGATTTGACTGCAGATATTCCTTCACGGAGAAATGGGCTAGACGGACTTTTGTGCCCTCATGGATCTGCCGGCTAGAAGGAGACGAGGCAGAGTCGTTGCCAACACTGTAGTCATCGTCTTGTGCTTCCTCATCGGCGGGCTCGCAGTCGGGTGCTTCATAGTCTTGCTTATCATCTGTGATGGCGACGACTAGCCCGGCAAGTACTTCCAGGGTGTCTGCCCAGTCACCCTTGTTGTCTATGTCGACGGTTCCGTCTGAGTTTGGATCATTTGTCGGATCAATGATGCTAGCTTCAGCCAATTGTTCAAGCGTCAGGGGTTCGTATGAGAAGGCAAGCCATCGGAGTAGAGTCAAAGCATATGGTTGGTCTTCGAAATCAATTCGTGACAACATTCGCTCGTAAGTTCCGTCAAGTGTTGCTGGCAAGGCGAGGAGAACGTTCCTTACTGTGGTAGGTCTGGTTGACTTGGATTTGGTCAGTTCCTGGAGCTGGCAGAACACGTATCGAAACATTCCATCGGCCCTCTCCGACAATGTCTCCCTGACAAGGTTTTTTGTTGCAGCATCCAGGCGGGAGAGCTTCGGAACGCGACTTATCTGTTTGTCAATGTATCGCTGTATGTCAGGAGTCACCAACTCACTTGCAACGGAAATCGAGGTAAGGTCAAGTAGCTCTATCGATCGGCGAATATCGGATTCGTCTCGACTGGTCACAAGTATTCGCAAGTTTTGTGCATGTTCAAAGAGTTGTTCGATGCCTTGCAAAACAACTCTTCTCGTGTCCTCCTCCTCAGGACATTCATCTAATGCGTCCAGATGACAGAAGACTAGATCATAGGATGTGAGACTTGCGCGGAGGATCTCCTCTAAATCCTCGCGGCCAGGCTTTTTGCTGGCATTTGCGTCGTAAGCTCGTTTGAGCATTGTGAATCCTGGACCATCCGAACCCAATTGAGCGATGAGTGACAGTAACAAATCCTCATACTTCTGTTTGCGTGCGTCGGAGAATGAGAAGTAGAAGATTGCGTGGCCATACTTGGGCCTACTGCTGCAGTACGCTTTCATGTCTTTGATTGCCGTCGAGCACAGAATGGTCTTTCCACAACCTGCTTTCCCATACAGCCAGAGGCATTGAACTTGACCACTCTTCCATGCCTTGTATTTGCTTGATTCGAGCAGCCAGGTTCCTGTTTGCTGTTCATGCAGTTCTCGCGCGGATTCGTGATTCGTCCATGGATCAGGCGCTGCTAGCCATGCGATTATTTTCTGCCAAGCCCGCGCGTGCTCTTCTTTAATGTCTATCTGTCTACGCTGAGCTTCGGCTTCGGCTCTTTCGATTTCATCACGCTGCCGCAATGCTCCAATAACACGATTTCGAGCACTCAGCTCCCTTCGCCGTAAATGACGGGTAGAGTAACTCCGACTATCCCGAACAGAGCATATGACATGTCCTCCTTTACCGTAGTGTTTCGGTTCTCGATCCACTTCATCTTGTCCTCGTTCCGGACATCCGTATTTGTTCCCCAGTCCCTCAATACCGACTCCGGGATTTTCGTGATCTTCGCGATCTCTGCTGTGAGGTCTTGTCCGGTCGGGGTTTTGTTGTACTCGTGGTAGGAAGATCCTTTGTTACCGATGATCTGCCAATCCCTTGTAACAAAAAGGACCAGACGTGGCGCCAGAAGCTCCTGTAATGTCCAACCTCTCTGAAACCATTCATCTTGCTTGAAGGCGTTCAAATCGTCTACCGCTGCCACACCTGGAAGGTAGGCGATGCAAATATCTGCATCGCGATACCACCTGAACATAGAATTAATACAATATGACAGCTCAGCAGCGCTTTCCTTGTTGATGCAGCATGTATCGATCCACAACCAGTCGACGTTTTGGACCCTGTCTCTCACGTATTCGGCGAAAGCTTCAACCTTCTTGTACCCAAGTGAGTCCTTCTTCCGCCCTTGCTCGACGTCCTTGAATTTGGCTTCATCTGCCCCCCATCTATGCGATGCTATGGCATACTTTGGATGTTTGTCATCGTCATGAAACTCCGTAAACTTAAGAGAGTGAACATTGATCAGCCGCATTTTGTGTTGGACTTGCTGCGCATTCGACGCAGGTGCGCGTCTGACGCGATAGACTCGTGTAACGAATGAAATCTGTGATGTCGTCAGCAAGATAGTAGAAGAAGAAATAAGTTACCACGCGTCGAAAGGTAGCACATCCTCGTACGCATGTCGGCAGCAAGGACGCTACTGCGTGATGCTGCGCCCGAGTGTTCCCCACACCATGCACTGCGTTTGCGGCAGTCACAATCACAACAGGCGGCCTGCAATGTATCGCAAGTACCGCTGCACACGAACGCGACGCTGAAGGAAGTGGAGATATTGAGGTTCATTGATATTTGTGATATTTATTTCTGGGTTCTTGCCATCTGGGATACCATTGAACTGGTCTTCATAAAATCGGTATAGACAAGCATGTTTGACGTGTGCTTGCTGGTGCAACCTCTGCAGCATCATATCCTGCAGGCTGCAGCCCGACCGGTGTCGACTTTATTCCACAGGTCTACCCAGGTGATTTTGCAAAAGCAACTTTCGCGGTGACAAGAGTCACATAATCACGTGATGTATCTTGCACGTGACTGGCTTGCGGAAAGCATGGATATACATGAATTGTCACATCATCGGAGAGTTTGTCAAGCGCTCGTATTCTTGCTGCCACGAAGCAAGATTCGCTCTGGACACCGCAATGCCAGCCTCTAGGTCCATCTGTTCTGGACTCTTCGTCGCGCCATCTGAAACAACATATTGACCAAGTAAGAAGCTCGCATGTGTGATCCACTCGTTCAAACTGTCGATGATTTGACAGACTTGCTGAACATCTTTGAGAAAGTTCACGTCTATCGGCCTCGTCTCTTCTCGTGATTTCTGCTCCAAGGTTTTGATCTCATTGATGAGTGCATGGCGCTGGGCATAGACGGCATTGATAGCTTCGCTACGCTCTTTCCGGGATGAATATTTGACGTTGTGAATAGCACTGATCTTTTTGCGGTAGTCTCGAGCTTGAAGTTTGAGTTGCTCGATGGTTGTGATTAGATCGACTTGCCTTTGCGGCGATATAGGTTTCGGTGCCATGATGTCGTAGGACTGAATCTGTTGCGTCGAACTTCCATGGGTCGACGACATCCTTCAAGTTTTTCTTGCGCTGGTGAAGTGTTTCTCGTCCACGCTCAAGTTCCGATGACGCCCTCCTGCCAATGACGAGAAAATCCTTTGCACGTGAAGCTCAAATGTCGACGATGACCTCTTGATGGTATCAAGAGAAGACCCTGAACTTGAATCCCGAATGTCGACAACGACCTTTCGCTGATAGTGAGAGAAACTCTGCACTCCGCCCACAAAGCCTTTATTCTGACCGAGTGGAGGTTTCCGTATTAAAAAGATCGAGCGCCGTCATCGTTACACCATGTGTCTCTTTGCTCCCCAGCAAAGTAGTATCGCGATGCGCGGGCGTCAAAAAAGCCATCGCGAAGCGAAGCCAGGCATGAACTCGCGTTACACACGATCCTCGTGTGACCAGGTTCCGCTCATCATACACTTCGGGACCAATCGCATTCTCTTTCCTTATCATAATTCATCGTCACAATCATCAGTCGTCCCGTCTCGTCGGCAACCCGTGTTCCGTGCCAGAACCCAGCGAGAGCCACGATGACGCACGAGAATGCTTCCCCAATGGTCGTTTTGCCAGCGCAGGACGAGGCCGAATGAAGTTTCGGTAAGTCTTCCAGGCAACTAAGAGCAGACTGAAGCCCAGCACGAAGCCGAAAAGCGTGACGAGTTTCCAGTGATGCAGCATCTAATTCAGCAAGAAAAAAGAATTGTCAGCAAAAAAAACGTCAAACGGAAGGAATGCGAGAGAAAGGGAAAGTCCAAAACATACCCAGAACATAAACCGCACGTCATAGCTATGCCAACTATCCCCCTTATGATGCGAGAAAAAGCTCCACGAATTCTTACTATACTCGGGGCCCCAAAGAATCCTGATTCTTCCGCCCTCAGCCCCATCGCCCACATTGAAGCCATCATCGCAATACAATCTCCAAATGATACTGAGAAACAGCGGTCCGGTTGAGGACATGATCGTGATATAAGGCAAAATCCAACTCCGATGATAGCGCGGTAATTCCGCGATCACGCGCTGGAAATATGGATGGTGCGGGACCGCGCCGAGGACATCGTTGCTGATACCTGTTGGCTGGGTTTTGCGGGCGAAGGCTGGGTATTTGAGCAGAGGGTCCAGAGGGCGCGCACAGCCGTCGTCAAGGTCGATGTAGATTCCACCGTAGTATTCGAGCACGAAGTAGCGGATGGCGTCGGCGCGCTGGATACCGTAGGGATAGCTCTTGAAGGTGGAGAGGTGTTGCGGGTATTTGTCCTCGATGAATTGCAGGGCGGATTTATCGGTCCAGAGTTTGTATTCCCATTCCGGCTCTTGATGGAGGCGGAGGCAGCTTGCTTGGGCTGTTTTCCATACCTCCGGGATTTTCACGTCTTTGTAGGTTTGGTGGATGATCTTCGGGATCAGCTGTGCGCTGGACGAGCTTTGCTTCTCGGAGCCGACGGGCGGGAGTTCATCGGGAGAAATGGCGTCGGTGTGGCCGTCAACTACGAGCAATTCGAGAAGTGTTGAGACTTGGTAGACGAGGAAGAGCAAGACGGCGACGGTGCAAATGAGGAAGATGAGGAGCGGGCGACGCATGGCGTGTACTTCAGGGTTGGATACTGCTATGAGTTTTCGTATCGCTGTCGCACATGGAGTCGTTCAAGTACACATTGTGTATATCAACATAGTGAGCTCGAGCTGAAAGATGTGCCTTCCGGGAACGCAAGGACACCTGATGCGAACAATGCGCAGACAAGCAGAAGGAGGACATGCCGATTTGACCCATGACGGCTCCGTGTCGCACAGATCTTGCCAAGTCGGACAAACCGTATGCTCCAGCTCTATTAAGCGGACCCACGTCGCAGGCAGGAAAAAAGAGAGCTTCTCCAAATTGACCTGCATGACGTTCGCCGACGAACTATTCTCGGACGAGTAAAAGATGGTCCCTAGTCTACGAGCTACTCCGGCGGTTCCTGCAGATCGCGTCTATCAATTGGCATCGTGCCGAGGGACATGTCTACGTGTACTGTCTCCTCAAAACCCGTCCTCTTCGCAGAACTCCACCTCGTCTTTGATATCCAATATGCCTATATACTGTAACTCCAGTCGTCTACGAGACATCAACAGTCCCGGAAGAGTCATTCGGGCCGAATGCTTCACCGCAGGAAGTTTGGAACGGTACGATCGCACGCTATGATGACAGCCGGTGACATTCACGACAGGGCACCTCCATCCCCGCCAACATCGACGCGAGGAGTCCGTGCGGAGACACGAATTCTGGAGCATCATGTTGCATATACCGTAATAAGCGAAGCCACGAGCATTGAATTCGGTATAGCTCTCGCAAGAGATTGGGATTATGGCGATGTCGGAAATGGTGACATCACTCTGTCTATTCATTCGGTTCCATGTATACTCTTTCGCATCACACAACGGCGGACAGCGTCCATTCGGTCTCCAGCGGAAGTGCCATTGTTTAATAACTAATCTGCAAGCTTCAACTTGTGATGCGTAATCATCCTTCGATCAGACGATCACTAGGCACCCACGGATCCCCTCTGATAGAGCTCTGTAAATTGAGACCCGATCAAAACGGCCACCAAGGTCGGTAACGGGTATAAGTGTTGTCCGGAGTATCCCTGAGCATCTCATCTCTGCACCACGCCGGTGCGCTGACCGGGTTACATCTAGCAACCTTGCCGCCCTCAAGCTGAACTGCATAGTCCCAATCCCATCGTGCCGACATGCCATACTGCGGAAAGTCAGTGCTGACGATCTGGGCTGCGCTAAGGAAGGCATTGTCGCGGGTGGTGGTGTTGCGAGAAAGAACAGTGGCGATCGGATCATCGGCTCGAGTGCGAATGAAGTAGCCCTTCCGGACCAGACGTTGAATCTCGGTTACGTTAGGATTGTTGTATTTGATGAAAGCGGCGTCGGCAGATCCTTCGTTGGAGTTTGTCCAGACAGTGCGATTTTGAAGAGATTCGTGACCGTTGGCGGTGTACAGGTTGCGGATTGAAGTGCTGGGCTCGTTGTCGAAGTAGAACATGAACTTCCCACGCGACGCGCCAAGGGTCGGCCAGCCGTGCTGCAAAATGGACTGCTCAAGAGTAAGCCCGTCGCGACGAACATCGTCAGGAACGATCAGCTTCTCTGCGGAAAGGACAGATCGGATCTCTTTGTCGATATTCAGGATGCGATCCAGTGTCCAGTCCTTAGCCTCGTCGGCACAAACGCCTCCAACAGCGCATGCAAAAGCATCGGTCTTAAGCTCCAAATCAAAGGTGAGAGGTAAGTGATTGGGATGATCGTCAGACCACGCTTTGAGCTGTTGTAAGCACTCTACGAAGGTGTAGCAGATAGAATTTGTATCTAAATCTGTCACGTGGAAAACCTGCATATAGCATCAGTAAAGATATCCACAAATGTAAATCGATGGTCTTGCATGCGAATGGACCACCGAAGACCAAGGGCAGGTAGTCGTTGCCATGATGCGATTGGGTAGGCGTAATCTGCAGACACCTTCCGTGGATTAAATATTTCTTCATCACTCACCTTCAGACCTGGCTTGAGCATGTTGTCATCACGCCACGGGATGGTCTCGTTGGTGAGGTTCGACAACTTCCAGATCAAAGGCTGTGCATACAACCCCCCAACTGTATCTGAATGGAGATCAATCTCGCCAGAGCGAACGGCCTGATGATCGAACTGATCGGCCCATTTTGCATGCGAGTAATAAAGATTTTGAAAACCGGGCACGAATTTCTCAAACACGGTGCGTTCTGCGTAGCTGATCTCTCTGTGGTAGCTGTTGTGCGTGCCGACGACTTGGATCTGGTTCATGCGCAATTCGCTGGCATTGCCGGCTGTGGCCGCGGTTGTGGTGTGTGCGAGACCCACTTCACAGCATGATCAGTGTTGGGTCAGAAAGAGGGATGTGATCGATCATGGTCATCCATACATGCAACGGCTAAGCCGCAAAACTTTATCCATGTTAGCATAGCTTGTGGATATGGCTTCAGCATAATGACAAAGATGTGCAACTTACAGTCCTAGAACGCATGATTTCAATGAGCCTCTCTGCACAAACTTGCTTCAAGGCGATTGAGTCCGGACAGGCATGAAGGAAGTGTCAACAGAACATGACATTCACATTCATTATTTATCCATCGCGAAAAGGCGATGGCGAGGGCGGAGGTCTGGTACTGCATAGACAATCCTTTGAGCCACACCCAAGACGGCTTGATGTCCGTTGTTTCGGCGTCATGGTTCGACTCCGCACTTCTCGACTCATGATTTGATTGGCCGAAATCTTGCCCGAAAATCCGGGGTCAATTTCTCCGCAGAACGCCAGCACCAAGCGAATCGTTGCTCCTCGGCGCGCGATAATTTTGATAATGTTTAACAGCAATGATGCACACAGGGCCGTGAGTGTTCCGGACCTGTGATGTCTTTGTCATGAATCTCTGTTGTTGCGAAATGTTTTCAACGCATTCGCGTGTAGATCGACTCCACGCCCAACGTGTCGCCTCGATGAATTTGAAGCGGGGGACCGCGTGTGCCCCGCTTGCGCCTGGCAGAGGCGAGGATCTCAACAGGCGCTGTCGCGAATGGTTGCTTGGACAGCCTTTTCTAACCGCCATTTACTGCAACCAGGTCGGTTGTGTCGGAATTGTATCGTTGCAGGGCACTTGGATCAATCACGCCAGTTGATGAGCACTTCATCGGTCCTAAAGCGCTGCGTGCAAGTGCTCTGCTCCAACTCCGTCGCAAAGGCCATTTTGTGAGCAAGAAGTCCTGCATGAGCAATCATAATGCCGTTATCGATGCAGAACCTCTCATCAGTAGCAAAGACACTACCCCCACGCTCGCTGGCCATCAATCCCATCATCTCCTGTAGGCGCAAGTTGCAGCCGACACCACCAACAATAAGGACCTGCGAGCTTCCCACATGTGCCATGGCCCTTTCAGTGATCTCAACCAGCATCGCGTAGACTGTTTCCTGCAGTGTGAAGCAGAGGTCCTCTTTGGTAATCTCTGCACCAGTCTCACGATCGGTCAGTCCAGGTCCCAATTGAGCGGCCATCTCCGCCACTCGTGTGAGGATTCCAGAGAAGGACACATCCATTCCTTTGACAGCGTAAGGGAGCTCGAGAAGAAACTTGCCTTTCTTCGCAAGCTGTTCGATATTATAGCCTGGCGCAGGGTCATTCGAGATGTTGAGAACTCTTGCGAATCGATCTAGACAATTTCCAACCGCAATGTCTAGTGCTTCACCAAAAATGCGGTATCTTTGCGCTGCATACGCGATGACCTGAGTATTACCTCCGCTGACGTACAACACCACCGGATTGTCCGCTCCAGTGATCGCTCTGCCCATCTCAATGTGTCCCACGCAATGATTGACACCAATAAGTGGCTTATCCCACAGTAGGCTCAACATCCTAGCAGCGACGGCGACGGAGGTAAGAGGCCCACCCATACCTGGACCCTTCGTGTAGCAGACACAATCGATATCCTCGATCTTCACGTTCGCCTGCTTCATGGCCTGTTTGACCAGTCGAACGACCCATTTCCGGTGGTGTGCAGCAGTGTCCTTTGGCAGAAATCCGGTTCCAGGCGGAGAATTGTATGTATGTCGAAGATTTGCGAGAATCTGTACTGGTTGTGAATCCAGCTTTACACGCCGGGATGAAGCATCATCGTGTGAATGTGCGCTGTCGTGCGGCGAAGGTGGGTCTCTGGAAGGGTGCAGAATGATACCCACGCCCAGTTTGTTGGCAGAGCCTTCGAGACCGATCGCGATAGGCATTTTGTCGCGAGTGTCGAGATACTTGAATCACTCCGGGAGCTGAATAGCGCAATCTCGACATGAGTCTCCAGGAAATGTCAATTATTCGTTGACACGTGATAAGGTTGGGTTGTGTAATTGTGCTCAAAGAGGCAAAGATCGGCACGCTGACGCAGGTGCAAAGCCACAACTTACGTGCCCACCTGCGGCACCAATTGTTGGCGGGACTGCTTCACGATTGATGATCTCCACATCCGACGACTGGACAACACACATCTCTACACACACCTCCGCTCTCGAGACAGCAATATGTCGTGGTCCGGCTTCAAGAAGAATGTGGGCAACAAAATCAACACTGGTGGCACATGACGACATCGCGCTAACGAGACCATCGGGCAGGTCAGTCGGACAACGACGCAAGTCTTGGTGAAGGCAGGAAAGGTCGAGAAGACCAGCGATCGCGAATATGAAGTGGAAGAGCGGCGTTACCGAACGCTCGAATCGGCGTCTTTGCGACTACAGAAGGAAGCGAAGGGCTACCTTGACAGCTTGCGCGCCATGACTGCGAGTCAAATGCGGATAGCTGAGACAATCGATGCTTTCTATGGAGACAGTGGAGCGCGCGATGGTGTGAGCAGGAGTTATAAGCAGGCTGTGGAAGATTTGGATGCCGAGACCGTGAAGGCGCTGGATGGGCCATACAGGTGTGTCGATTTTGGTTTATTATCCGACAAGTTCCGTGACGCGGAGGATTTTGAGGGAGGAGATGCAGCAGTAGCCACGCGTTGAAGCGTAGAGGGATTGAAATTCGCGAAGGACAAGAAGAGGAGCTGCACGAGGGACAACATGGCGCATCATATGAGACGACCGGCGAGACTGACAAGTGATTTCTCCAGGACGACCGTGCTCGAGCCGATCAACCGCTTCTGTGCCTATTTTCCGGATATTAACGAATGTGAGTATGATCGGAAGTCTTCAACCATGGTATCCCGACACTAAACGACATGCAGGTATCAAAAAGCGAAACCACAAGATGCTTGACTATGATTCAATGCGAAGCAAAGTCAAGCGGCTGGTAGAAAAGCCAGACAAGGACCCCTCGAAGCTGCCGCGTGCAGAGAAGGAGGCTGACATGGTAGGTTCAATTTCGGAACATAATATCATATTCGTGATACTTTCGAGACGGCGGCGAATTAAATCTTAAATCCGATAATCTGTCCTGCTCGCAGACGGAATTCAATGGCGTGCGACGATGATCTCCGCAAAGAGGCAGGCTGACATTTCTCACAGGCGAAAGCGGCATACGAACAGCTCAACCAGCAGCTGACAGATGAGCTGCCCCAACTGATCGATCTACGGTATGACGAGTATGCCACTCCTTCACAGCACCACGTCACTGACAGTGTTCCAGTGTGCCATATCTTGACCCTTCATTCGAGGCTTTGGTCAAAATCCAACTGCGCTTCTGTGCAGAAGCATACAGCCGCATGGCACAAGTACAGCAGTACGTCCTGATGCTCTTCTTTACTTGCTGCAGAATGCCTTACTAAGCTGAAAATTAGATACCTCGATGCTTCGACAAGAGATCAATATGCAAGTGGTGACCTAGATGCCAGAGTGGAGGATGTACTAGGACAGATTCGGGAATTGAGTATTGCCGGGACGGTCTAGATGGTAACATGGTCATTCGAATGATTTGGTGTCTAAGGATCGATTCACCCTGACATGGCGTTTAGCTAAATGGACGTGGCAGAACTCATGAAAAACGTGTGCGTTGTCGAACAATATCCGTGAAAACCCAATCGGGGATTAATATATGCAGATATACAGTTCACAAGAACAATCTCCGTGTCGTGTGCCGCGCGGCGTAGTCGAATCAGGCGGTGTCTCGGCTTTGGCCTCTTTATCATCACGGCCCGCACGGGTCATTCAACCCGTGGACCGATTAAGGGGTCGGCACAAACCAGCATGGCGCCGGGTTGGAAAGACCTACGACGGCCGTGATTGTTCGACCATGTCGCTGTTCGAACGCTCAAGTCATCAAGGGAGGGAACTAAACCTGCGTGAAAATTAATTGACATAGAGACCTTGCTGCTGTCAGATGGGGTTGACCCCCCAGGTGAAATGAACCGTGTGAGACAAAGCACAACGAAATGGTTCTCGTTTGGCCGCAAGGAACTTTTCTCGTGATCACATAAATAATACGAAGGAAGGAAAATCTCATTTCCGTCATGCTTTAAAGACATCGATTCCATTGTTGCATCAAATCTCTTTTTTCATTCCTTGGTCGTGAACGGGACGCTGAGCGCAATGCTCGTCTCCCGACTCTGCTCGACCTCCATCTTGCGAATCCTCTCCGCCGGACCGAAATACTTATTTTTCCCGCCCACGACATACCAGCCACTCGCGAAAAGAATGACTCCGCCAGAAATCAGTACACTCCAGTTCATGCCCGCGAGAGTCGGATTCGGGGCCGTGGGGAAGAATACGAAAATGAACGCGATGGAAACAAAAATCATCGCAAATCCGTTGATGGCGAAACCGATGGGTCTGGGGTACTGGAGGTATGAAGGAGGTAAGGGTTCGGAGCGGGCGCGGCGCAGCATCATGGTGAAAATCGTGGAGCCGTAGCTTAGCAGGAGACCGACGAGGCTGATGCTGATGATGTTGTTGAAGGCGATGGTGGAACCTGCCGCGATGAAGGAGAGGATGAATGTTATTCCAAAGGTTGTGATGAGGGCGTTTACGGGTACGCCGTTAGTTGGATTGACCTAGTATGGGTGTGATTAGGACTCGGGCTTGTAAACGAGGATGACTTTTGGAGGGTTACCTTTGCGAGCCATTCGGAGCAGGGGAGACCACCGTCTCGGCTGAAGGCCCAGAGTTGTCGGGAGGTCGTTGTGATGCAGTTGATTGTACAGAAGAAGAAGAGGACGATGAGCAAGGCGGTGAAGATGATGGTCGCGGTGCGAGATCGTGTGGCGGCGTAAACCACAGCGATCCAGGGTTGGCCGCCGAGGTTTTCGGCGAGGTCCTCATCGAAGTTGCCGGACACGGACAGTACAGTGATCGTCATGATGAAGCCGATGATGTAGTTGACCAAAGCTGTTGAGATCATCGATTGCGGCAGAGCTTTGGAGGCGTCTTTGACTTCCTCGCCGAGGTGAGCAGCGGAATCGCCTCCGACAAGGGTGACGGTTGGGCCGAGGATTCCAACAAGACATGCGAGTCCAATGCTACCCCAACCAGAATTGTCCTGGAATGTGAAGAAAACTTCCTCCGAGGAAGTGCGCTCGCCCATGATCCACAATGGGAAAAGAATGGCGAAGAAGCCAGCAATATGGAGCATGAACATCACGCCTTCCAGCCATGGCAATAGACGAACGCCGTAGACGTTCACTCCAGTTGAGATGATCATGGCGGCAATCATGAATACGATTGTGAGCCAATTGAAGCCTGATGGGATTTCAAAGCTTCCGTTGACGAAGGCGATCAAAGCAGAAACTTGTTGGGAGATGATAAGCGCATTGCCGGCGACTGATGCTTGCCAACCGATTGCGGTGAACCAGCCTATTCAGATTAGCATGATATTATGAGTGTTGTTATGAAAGAAGGACGTCCTACCGACACCGTAGCTGGCAATACGCTGATACTTGGGCGGCGCAAATTCGCTCACCCAGTGGTACTGACCTGCTGAGGTAGGTGCTCTAAGTTATTGTTAGCCCCTGATCGAATTCCATGTTGAAGGAGAAGAATACGTACATGCTTGCCATCTCCGCTAATGACAGAACGACGCTGAACATGCCGAACATGACCGCGAAGAAAAGCCATATTACTCCTGAGATGTATTGGTCAGCGTGGCTCAGAGACTCTTCTCGAGATGAAAACATACCTCCAGAGCCACCATTTGTCAACGCAGCCAAACTCGTGCTGTTTCATGTCAGGATTACAATTTTAAGTCGGCGATTATTTGAACCTACACAAGGGCATATTCCCAAGTCGCTCTATATGATAAAGCATTAGTCTCAACTTTGTGTTCAGAAAAATGTCTATATGCTTACCCAAGAATACAAGCAAATCCAAAGACGGTCAGTGATGTGAATCGTCGCTAGTAATTATTATAATTAGCAAGATCGTCTCGATAAGACTTAAATCATACCAAACTCACATGAAGCTTGAATGGCAGTGCCATGCGGTGCATATCGCGAACATCATTTGAAGTTGCTGACGTCGGGACATGCCCGTTGGCGCCGTCCATATCGTCAATCCCGATCTCGACGTGTGAAGACATGGCGACCGCGGAGTATCGATGTGACGGCGTGAACGGGCTCCAGAAGTCGGCGAGAGGCTTTTGAAAAAAAGGCATGCGGTTGAAGTTTTGTTTCTCTCATCAGAAGCCTGGCTTGGCTTGCTTGGAATTCTGGGTTGCTGGCTCGCCACTCCGTCGCGTGAACAGTGGGGGAGGCGGTGGTGGTACAGTATGAGATGGTTCATTCGACACTGCGAGGTGCAGTAGTATTGTGACTAGGACCGAGGCAATGCAGTGTGATTGTGATCCCTTGCTTGCTTAGCAGTGCTTAGGTCCTCAGGGAGCGAACCTTATCAGTGCAACATGCGGAGCAGCATTCCGGCTGATGGTAATCCCTTGAGTGATGGTGGGATATCGGGACCTGTCGCAAAGAAGGGATGCCGTGTGTGTCGCATTGTGCCGAATCCGGGTGAGATGAGCTCATGTCGTGCTCAAACATCCTCCGCAATCCTGCTGTGTATACATGCCAACATGCGAAAGGTCGATCATGGAGCCCAACCTGCCAACGACACGGGCGGACTACGCCGCGTAAGCTTGAATGATCTGACCATGGTGCAAGCACGAATCACATCCCGAGCGCACTAGCGAGAGTTTATGCAGCAAGTGTTGGTAAGAATCCCAACGGTCAGCGACAGATGCGGCGTCGATCATTTCTGCGCCCAGCATTTGCGTTGAAATAAGCTTTCTGCCGCCTCTTCCGCTGTCATCTGGAGGGTCACACTAGACTCCAAAAGGTCCAAAAGTGCGAAGGGACCACCAAATCTCGCCAATCCTTTCGTCCCATCTCATCTCACATCAACTTGTTGTTTGTTGGTACTTGTACTCGACGGCCTTTCACAGCTTCCGAATGCCGTGCTTACAGTTTCCTTGTCTGCCATCATCCGGCGGATGTTGATATTCTTACGCACTGTATATCCCTCGGTGATAACGCAAGAGCCTCTCGCGACTATTTGTGCCTACTATTGGATCAATCGTTTGTCGCTTACGGTGCTTGGGCTCCAGCATTTGCTGTTTTGACTTTCACACGATGATTTTCGCCAGGCGGAGCGTTGTCAGCAGTAGCAGCAGCAGCAGCGCTCGTGTGTGGCTATGTTTGGTAGGATGAAGGCCTGGCCTGCTAACTGTTATCATCTTCTCTTGTTTTATACTTGCTGTGCCTCTGCTCGGGCAGTCTTGTGAAGGAAAGATTTCGCTCGCCTCCGCTACCTCTTGAGTCGCGGTCCCCTTTCCCGAATATGTTGTAAAAACGAAGTCCTGAGATAAAGAAGTACTACTTTTATTATGCGACGACATGTCAGATATTAGCCCAGGGATCCGTTTCCAAGACCCTCTTCTGGGCAACAGCTCACCATGGATTTACGTCTGCTCCATGTGGGCGCTGGTCGCCTGCACCATCTTTGTGAGCATTCGCTTATGGGTTCGACGATTACGATATGGCTTGGACGATGCGATCTGTCTGCTGTCTTTTGTATGTGTTTCCGAGTCTCGCGAGAGCGAGATTTACTGATACTGGTGGCTGATTATGTGTCGTCGAAACAGCTTTCCGCCGCGGCGAGTTGTTCCACCATCTTGAGCGCGCTGAGCGGTGGACTCGGCGCACCTACACCGGCGACTGATTATGAGAAGTGCTCTTCTGTAGCTGCGGTGCGTATATTCGGAAGCAATGATAACATGTCATCGACAAGTCACGAAAAATATGTTCGCGACTGACGACAAAGTACACAGCTGATCGTCTCGAGTATCTGCCTCTTACTACTCGCTGATGGCCTATCCAAATGCTCGACCATCCTCCTCGTAGTCAGAATCATCTCCAGCAGAGCGTCACCTCTCCGATTTCACCGTATGGTCTGCTGGATTGCGATTGGCATTACAACAATATGGGTCGCTGTTTCGCTCGGGATTTATGCTGGCGGCTGTACTCGTCAATGCGTTTTGGATCCCGATGATTCTCCCCGTACGGATTGTCAGGCCAAGGTAGCTCTGATTCAGTTGGAAATGTTGTGAACGACATGTCGCTGACGTCCAAGTGCAGGGTGATCGGTTCATAGCAGTCGCAGCGATCGGAAGTCTCATCGAAGCGGTCATTTTCATCTTGGCCACTTTTTTCTTCGGGACTTTACAAATGTCATGGAAGACCAAATCGACGACGCTGATTCTCTTCGCCGTCAGACTGCCGTGAGTGGATAACAAATCCTGATCGCTAAATGTGTCTACAACAGAAAAGAACCAAGCTAACAACCCTCAAACCACAGACTCGTCGCTCTCTCGGTAATCTTCACCACCCAATACTCCAGCTACATCCACGCCGTCGACCACGGCCTCCCCAACGTAACCTCCGGAATCTACTGGCAACTCGCCCTTCTCTCCTGGATCGTCATCTCCCCGTGTCTGCAAACCCTTAAATCCACCATCGAAGCCCTCTACACCTCGGGAGCAGTGATCGATTCCACCCGCTCAGACGCCTCGGATAGTGCATTCCGGCTCCGCCAACTCTCTGCCTCTTCCTCGGGGTTCAGTACTACCCGGAGGAACCAGAGCATCGATGCGCGACTTTTGAATAGCGGCCCACCTTCGTCGTGGAATCGGAGTTACAGCCAGGGCTATGTTGACGATATGAGCATTCTTGAGGATTCTCATCGGTACGAGGCGCCGAACGGATTACTTGGTCCTTCCCGATCGCATTTTACTGGACATCATGGCGGGAGGGAAAGTGCAGGCTGAAAAGAAGGAAAAGAGGGAATATCGGAACCACTTATTCCGAGTGATGAAGCGATTTTCACCTATCCTTTCACCGAGACCCGGGATACTGCGCCCTCGGGCTGAATGTCGCTTGCCTTGATCCGGCGTCCAAACAGCTAGTCCGGTCAATGCCTTGTGAAGCTGTGCTTGCTTTCTACTGTGACTTTCGACCCAATGAACGGAAAGTTCCACGAGCGACGGGAAAGACTAAACACCGCAAAGATGGCAGGAGACCGCACAGCGCTCCATAACAGCTCAACAAAGTTCACAACAAACGAACCGAGTCGATCAAAGCACTCGTTGGTCCACACATGACGAAATTGCCGGTCCGATGGAAAGTGATGAAATAGGATTCTTGAAAGGACGGCGAGAAGGCGTCGCCAGCCGTGCGAAAATAATTCACATGCACGCACCATTTTTGAGATCGCATTCTACAAACGACCAAAAATCTTCGATAAATCCCAAGAATTTTTTTGAGTTTCGCTGGAGGCAATCCTGCATGTGATTTGGAAAACGAGGCGGAACTCAACCCAACGATCACGCTGTCGGGAAATTTTCTTTCTGCTTTGGTGGGGAGAGCTCTCCCTTGGAATACTGGATTAGCACCTGATATAAGGATGTCGGCTGGAACTGGATTTGATGGGGGATGTCCGGCACAAGACCTTGAAGTGCTCGCTGTGCAGGATAGGAGTTGCCGTTGAGAGTTTGACGAGGCTGCGAGACGAATGTGCAGGCGGCTGTTGGATGAACATGGAGCGATCCCCTGGTCGCTCTTTCCGATTTTGATACGCCAAGTTCGGAGAAAAAGACCATCCAGTACCGGGCAATGGCCTGCAGTATGAGGAGCTCTCACGTTCTTGTGGATGTGCCGTAGATAGAGCCTTGTTGTCAATGTTCCAGAAAACCCATTCCTTCAGGAGGGCAACCCTAATCTCCACTTTCGGGCGGCCACTTCCGTCATGTGGATGGGCGATCGCCAGTGGGGAGCGTGAACTGATGGCGCAGGGTCGCCCCAGTATTTGGTTGATATCACTACACCTGTTGAATGAGACCACCAATCTCGAGAAGAAGATATATACCCGAATGACAATATTTTACTCTACTTACTACAAACATCATAATCCGAATTGAATAACATCTAATCACAAGATCCCGCCGTGACCGTCCACGAACTGAACAACTAGCCGCGGCGGGTGGAAGGGTGCACATGACTACTGCATGCATGTAGCCGCCAACGGGTATCCTCCAGTACTACGAAAGAATAGGCGGCGTTGGTAGTCTGAGACTCTGAGAGCGTGGCCACACTTCGCCTCTCGAGGGCCATTGACAGAAACCCTCACAAAAGACGCATACATTTGCGTGGAAGTATCGCCGTGCGGCCGAATAGTAACACAAATCGATTGTCTGCGAGGAAGCGTCACTGGCGTCATGCCTCCAGGATCCCGTCCGATGTCGTCGTTGCGGGTATGGACTGTCCCTTCCCCTTCTCTGTCACATCGAGGAGCCGAATGTCATCCTGCCACACTGTCCTGCTTGAGAGCGAGCCGCATGCATATGAAGATAAGCTGACTGTGAAACTCCTCTTCCTTCTCATAAGACCGGCCAATTCGACGATCCTCCCGCTCACACCCCATCCTCCTCAAGTCCGCGCAGCAGTCGGCGTCGAAGCAACCAACAGACCGCCTGGCCTTCGACGGATGAGGTCACAGTGCCAGCTAACGCATCTGCCACGCCGACGACCTCGCTCCCTCCGACGACCGCATCCGTAAGGAGAGATGCCTACGAAGCGACATATCAACGAAGGAGACGCCCGAGAATGCCAGATTCGCCAGGCTCGCATGACGAACGGGATGCCGGTCCACCTGCAGCTAAGAGACGGAAGACAGACGCCAGCCATGACGAGGCGTGGCCGAAGCCAATCAAATACGGGAAATATGGGCAAGAGGTGCCGGGAAAGCTGCGGTTGAAGATTGTCAGCTGCGATGGTGGTGAGCAGCAGGACCCGCGATATCCAGCATTGTCGCTCGGCTGTGAGAATATCTTACGCCACGATCGGAGCGTGTACAGCTCCAGTCGACCCGGCTGTAATATTGTGTTGCGACACGAAGACTGGACGCCGTTTTGCCTGGAGAAATTGCACATTGTCGCGCCCGAGGACGGATTTCGATATCCCGTCGGACGAGGAATTGTCCATGTCGCTATGAATCTGGACGAATTGCAAAAATACATTGAGCCTGCATTTCTTCCACCGATTTATGCTCAACGGCAAAACAACACCTCTCCATCTTCACCGCCTCCGCCACCACCACCACTCCGACGTCGTGGACGACAGGTCTCTCCAGCAGAGGAAATTTCCCTGTACGAAGCTCTGCGTGATCCGGTTGTGAATGCTGCACATGAGCGACCGATTGAAGAAGATGATTCCAACGATGCATACGCGACGAGTCTCGACGACTTCTTCCGACGAGCACGTCAAATGATCGATAATGAAATCTGTCAACAAGCCCAATCTCCCGATCCGGACCTGGATGAATATGATCTGTTGCCACCATCTGTCACGATTAGCAATGATGACGAACTAGGCCCCGAGGAAACCACCAGCGAAGAAGTGACGAACCTTCGCAATTACCGCGAGCGACTAATACGAATGAACAATCGTCGACATCATCATCCCCAACGCCGGGATGTCCTTTATGAGTATCAGTCGCAACTCCAAGCCCGAGATGACATGATGGCGGATATGCAGCGCTGGTATTCAGTCACATCCGAGCTCCAAGCCACCCAAACTCAGACGCCAGCAATACCCGAACCCTCTTCTTCTGCCCGGACGGATCGGAGTTCCCAGCTGCAGATGGCGCATAACCGTGCCATGGCTGCAAATGCCGCTGCCAATCGCAGCGGTCAACTGTCATCACCACCGCCATCATCATTCAATCCCCGTGACCCTGATTCTTCTTCTACTAGTACTACCATCAACAACACGACCACAGAAATGTCCTCCGAAGAACTCGAGGCCTCCCGACGTCTCCTCCTCGCAGCGAGGGAATCCAATGCTCGAAGTCTACAGCAGTACAACGACTCGCGCCAAGGAGCGCCACCACCTCCTCTCGACAACAACAGCAGTAATCATGAACCTTACAACCCACCCCAACCTCCTCGCACCACCACCAACAACAACACCTCCTCCTCTTCTCCCTTATCATCACCATCATCACCACTACCCTCAAGCGTAACAACCGCCCACTTCACAATCCGGCCCGACAAGCATAAAGTCACGCTGAAGTTCTCCCCGGAAGTCTCCGGGCGATTCATTCTTCTGAAACTCTGGACGGAGAATTCTTTTGCTCCTTCTGGTGGCGCGACGGGTCCTTCGTCTTCGTCGACAGCTGCTACCTCGGTGGATGTCCAGAGTGTTATCGCCAAGGGCTTTGGCGGGATGAGGTTCTTCGCCGCGCAGGAGGTGAGGTGATGATCTGTGATGTTTTGTATGAGACGGAGGGAAGGTGGCGATGGCGGGTCTTGGCTTGTGATTGTGCTTGATGCCGGTACAAGTGACAGACATCAGAACCTGCATAGATCAGATCTGTCGGGAAAACGGGACATCGTGGAGAGCGAGAAGCCCCGGTGGAAGGGCATGAGAGTGATGCACTTTTTGGCATGTGCAAGTGGATTGAGAAGATCTACATGGGATTCGATGGTGACTTGCGCTCTAGTTGGGTTAAGTGAATCCTTGAGAAAGTGTGTCGGCACTTGTAATGGTGATCTGTACCTTTGAAAGTCATTCCACATGTGTCGGGCTCTCACTGTCTTTTTCGCATCACATGTCAAAAGTCCACTGCTTGATATCCCGATACTTCACTCTCTTGCTTTGCCTGCACCACTCACCCTTGATCAAGGAACTCATTATTTCAGCACTTGACCATGTGCCTTTGGGCATGAGAGGGAGAGCAGCATACAAATACCAATCCTTGATGCCCGCCCACCCTGCCTTTCCCTCTCTTCCTCCATTCTCTCTATTAGTCCTCACACTTCATGACCACAGTCCCCAGTCACATCACTATCACGGCTATTGTTCCCATACCTCCCTCTACAAGCAAGCACTACCTCTTCAATAGAAAGGCACCATTGTGCCCACACCTCCCTCACCTCATCGTCATTCACCAGTCACAATGACGACCAACGAAACGGGTGTCCGCGCCGACAGTGTGACCAATTCATCCCTCATCGTCGAAGCCGAAGACAGCAAACCCAAATTCTCCGAAAAGGAGCTGCAACGTGAGCCTTCTCACTCGTACATAAAACTTGACTCAAGCACCAACCCCCCCTCTTGTCATTCTCATCTTCTGACCACGACACAACTATCTTCCAGTCCTGGTCGCAGCCATGCTCTCCCTGAAATCCGGCGCTCCCGAGATCGACATCCACCGCTTCCAAACCAACGGGAAATTCAACACGCTCAAAACGGCGCAGAACACCTGGGGTGTGCTGAAGAGGAAACTCGTCAACACTACCGCCACCATGAACAACACGAATGCTGCCGAGAACAGAGAACAGCCCACCACGCCTTCGTCCGGCAGCACTGCGGCGAGGGAGAGCAAGACAACCCCGAGGAAGACCCCTACCGCAAGTCGCAAGCGCACTTCCGTCGTCGGCAAGAACATCAAGACGGAGGAAGACGGCTCGGCGGAGATTTTCATCGCGGATGACGAGGTCGCTGCGAATGGCTATGCCTATGGCGATGCCGAGGATGAAGGCGAGGAAGAGCAGGCTTCTCCGAAGAAGAAGTCCAAGGTCGTCACTACTCCGCGTAAGACCAAGCCTGCTCCTGCTGCTGCCGGTAATACTCCTAAGAGTGGTGGCAATAAGACGAAGAAGGGCAAGGGGAAGAAGGCTGGTGATGCTGATGAGGTGATTCCTCCGACGGAGAATGGAGATGAGCTCGAGGGTCAAGGTCAAGGCCATGAGGGCGGGGAGGTGGGAGTGAAGGAGGAAGTTTTGGATGATTTTTAATTAAAAGTGCGTCATGCGGCGGAGCACTTGGATCGGTCGGTGTTTTTTCCCTTTGAAGAAGAGAGAGAGAGAGAGAGAATTTGGGGTTCCAATGAAGAATGGATTTTGGGAAGCGAGATTCCCAACGAACGAGAGGTGCTACGACGATAGTAGTCATTATGAGAGAAGAGAAGAAACCAGGAAGAAAATTTGAATCGCTCTCCCATCACCCTTCCGTCCTTTCACTTTTCTTCTTTCTCTCATGCGTATATGTCATCATTTCTCTTGCTTCTTCCTCGCTGCAGCCTTTCGGTTTGTGAGGGATTGAGAAAAAGTTCCCTCCTGGTCCTATCCATCCATGTACGGTCCATTTGATGAGATTTACAATCGTGGATCATAGGAGCATTTATCCTCTTTGTGAGTGATTGGCCTTGGTTGAAGTTTGTTGATGTGTAACTTTTCATGTGAATGAGGTCTTTAATGGTGACAAGCGAGAGGTTGTCGTTCTGTGAGAGAGGAGAGTGTCAAGCGAAGTGAATGTGTGAAGAATGGATGGTACAGCTTTAGTGTGGCCTGAGGCAACAAATCCTGATACATGTCGCGAAGTCACTTTTATCATGAGCCTACTAACTACAATCCTCAATTGATAGTCAACCTTGGAAGCCTTGTAACACAACAACGTCTGTAACAACAACAATTGTGCGATAGCCAAACTCTCCTCCTCTCATTTACTTGGTCTCTTGCGACACATACTCAAGTCATCACTGTAACAATTCGAGACTGTTAGAAGACCATTTTGGCGTTTGCACCCAATCTCGGCCTCGCCCAAGTTCCCAGACGCCTCCTTTCACGGCGTGCGCGCCACCAAGAGGAAAAAAGGCGTGACCTTCGAATCACGGCCAGAACATATTTCAAAATTCCACATATTTCCGGGAGAAAACCATCGTTACGCCTTCTTTAGCAAAAAGCTTGACGAGAAAGCGCCATTCGTGCAATCTCTTCTCACACGACTTCCAAAGTGGGCAAAGAGAGGACCGTTCCCTCCTCGAACACCACCTCGTCATGGCGACCATAATAGCGGCAGCACTGCCACCGCCGCCAACCAATGGCGGCGGTCAACTCCCTACAACATTCGACGCGCCCACCGCCGGCCTCAGCAGCGATGAAATGGCCTTGTATGATCGTCAAATCCGTCTCTGGGGCGCACAAGCTCAGGAAAGGATCCGATCGGCCAACATCTTACTCGTATCCTTGCGCGCTCTAGGGACGGAAGTGGCCAAAAGCTTGACCTTGGCGGGGGTGTGTTCGCTCACAATTGTGGACGATACGCCTGTCATGGAAGAGGACATTGGCGTGGCGCAGTTCTTTCTGAGGGCGGAGGATGTGGGCAAACCGGTGAGTTGATCACAGAAAACATTTACAGTTGTCGATGAAGCAAAGCTAATGTGGACTGACCTTAACAGCGTGCTGAAGCGGCTCTTCCGCGAATTCAAGATCTCAATCCTCGCGTGCTTGTCAAATCAGGCGGTGGTCTCTCCACTCTACTCATGCAAGATCAGAACTACTACGCACCTTTTGACTGCGTCATAGCCTGTGACCACGACAGCGCCACTCTATCCATGATCAACACCGCCGCACGTTTCGCCGCCCGCCCCTTCTACGCCGGTGGCATTCACGGGTTTTACGGGTACATTTTCGCCGATCTCGTCGTACATGAATACATCATCGAGCGCGAGAAATCCAACATGCCCAATACCAATCCGCGCCTTGAAACTCTCACACGCTCCATCCTCAACGTCACCAACCGCAAAGAATCCAGCGGCAAACAAACCGAGATTGTGAAAAAGCAAGAAATCTACTGCCCCCTCATCCTCGCCAACACCGCGCCTCTATCTCCAGACATCCTCTCCTCGCGGCGCAAGCTCAAATCCGTACCAGCCCTCCTCCCCTGCCTCCGTGCCCTCTTCGACTTCCAAACCGCCTTCGGCCGCAGCCCGAACCACACCGGCGCCGACATCGCCACCTTCACCACCCTCGTCAAGCAAAAGTCTTCTGAACTCCAACTACCCGCGGAGACCCTGCAACCCAGCTTCCTGCGGTCCTTCCTGCAGAATCTCTCCGCCGAACTCCCTCCGACCGCGGCTTTCGTCGGCGGGCGCCTCAGCGAGGACGTGATCAACGTGCTCGGCAAACGCGAGCAGCCCATCCAGAATTTCGCCCTCTTCGACGGCGACGCTCTTTCCGGCAGGATCTTCTCCCTCTACACCGCGCCCCCGGAACTGGCGGTCCCGGGGTCCATGGGAATCCTTGACCCGGCGATCGCGGCGGCCGTCGCGGGCGCCTCGCCCGAGGAGCTGGAGAGGATGGCCAAGGGCGAATTTCCGATCCCGAACGCGGCGGCGGCGGTCGCGGGGCAGCAGCAACAGCAGTAAACGTCACAGTGTTTTTCATGCTAAGGAAACGGTAAAGACGGGACAATCTGAGGATGAAACAGGTAAGTTGCGACGGATGCCACGAGGAGCGCCACACCGAGAAGCGCAAGAGGAATATGTAAATGATATTGTGCGAAATCTTTTTCCGAAGCTCCTTCATCTTCTGAAACATCTGATCGATCCATGACGGGAGAGAGTTTGCATTCACTACTGTAAAACCTGACACGCTCTCGAATACACAGACGGTACCGAAACCTCAAGGGATATCCCCATTTGACGTTTCATGTCCTATTCGGCTAGCAGAAGAGGCCTTTCATCTTTTGAAAGATCTCTGTCCATCAGAGAATCAAAAGGATAGATGTCGAGCGTCTCTGGAACTCATCCCAAAAGAGCATGGTGCTTTTCGACTTCAAACAGCCTGGCGACGTTGCGTGCATGTTTCTGCGTGAATGCAACAGCCATGCGATCAGTGTATCCCGTGATGCGTAGAAAAATAAGCTTGATCTTCAGCTACATCTGCATGGTTCCATCATTGCATTCGGTGATCGTTGGCGCTACAACTCGATCTTCAGAAAAGGACGGTAGGCGCGGTCCATGCACGGCTCGTGCGATTTCTTTGTGCTGGTTGCAACCATCATGCAGAAGCTGCAACCGTGAAGGAGAGTGGTGGCGACGGCGGCGGCATGGCAGACTCAAGCCGTTCAAACCACACGACGTCCACATCGAGCCGCGTCGTGGGCCATCACCGCAACGTCGTCCGTCGATCTGACAGATGTCAAGGTGAATGCAGCATGAAACGGCGACATCGATCGCACACTCGTAAATAGACCTGTCCTCACAATGACCTGCGACGCTCAGCCATCGGCCGCTACCATCTTGTTGCTGATGAAGAGGCCGATTTCGAAGCAAGACACTAGGAGTGCATGCAGCTTCTAGTCCTTGTTTTGCGTCTAGATTAGAGGGGAGATGACGCTCAACGGATTGTTTTGCACACCGCGTTGTAAAGTGATGTGGGTGTTGCGACCTCCATGCTCGAGGCACTGTAATGTTGACGCCACACTTGTAAGCTCGAAAACTCTCTTGGGTTGATGCGGATGACAAGTCGTGCACTCCTGCAAGGCGTGTCGTAGAACTTCACCGAGACTCCTGCTGAGCCAACAGGCCTTGCTGCGATGCTTGTGTTATTCCGAGCCACGAATGATGCGGAACCTTATGTAGACTCTAACCCGCCTGACATAGTTGTATATGGGAAAACTATCTGGATACGGAGTTCGAATCTCGTCCAAAGTACATGTACGTGATCCGCCGCATCGTGTCAACTTCTTAGGTCCCTCTCGCACACAAATCGCTACGAGCTGTTTTCGTGAGCACCGTATTCAATGCTTACGACGATATTCATCGCAAACTCAACGACCGACTATGCGAGCTTGCAGTTCGCGATCGTATCACGAAGAGCGCCGCGAACGTCCTTAGTTAGAAGCACGGCGCGACGAGGCGGATTTTGCTGAGAAGGGGCAAGCCGCATAATCCAGCCAAAACCACCGACACAAGCCTTGTGGATTATGCACGGTGGGTGTAGACAATTTTCATTCACAAAAGAATTCCGCTGTCATGATATCTTATGTCATGTATTCATGAAATCCCAACGTTTTCTCAGAATTTGGCGGCGATTGGACCAGGCACTGTGAGGCGCCGTATCTTGACAACGCAACGTCAGCTGGCTTAAGCCACATGCACTCAAATCACACCATACCGCATCGTACCCACCCTGGTCTGGGCGAAGGTGTCCCATAATCACAGCAAGAGAATACCTCCACCGGAGACCAAGAAGTCATGTCGTCTGGATAAGCAAGTACATCGTCTGATCTTTTCCAGTACGATCTCCTGGCTCTGTAGCGGAGCCCATCCGCCACTCGCTTTGCCCTGGACACGCTGAACCTCGCTTCTCCATGGAGCGTGAACTATGCGAATCGATGTGCTACAATGACTCGCATTCGCGGGTGAAGTCTGCCGAGCCTCTGGACGCCATGAACTTTGAGCCTTAATTTGAGAAATGCATTGCCTGATATTGTAATTAAAGGGGGAACAACCTCTGCTGCGCCTTCTGTGACTCCACCTTGATCCTCGAATCCTTGCTAACATGAATACCGTGGCGTATGTACTCCTCAGAGGTACAGCACCGTAATCAAAGTTTGTCGAAGGACAAGAAACATCTCCGTAGCAGCCCTTCAGCCTCTTCCGACTTCCACACCTCTTCCTCAAGTGCCCCTTCCTCGCCTTCGAAGGTTCGACCGATTATACGAGTTTCTAAAGTTCCCTTGCTCTCGTGCGCCTCGATATATTTCCACTGTGAATTCACCTGTGTGCGCTGAACATACACAAGAGTCGTCACCGACAGCATCGAAGTTACTTGCGAGACCTCCACAAACCATCTCCAAACTTCAGATCATCGGGACCGCCGCCATGTCTCCCAGCAACTCCTTATCGTCATTCCGATCTGACAGCGCCCGGCAAGCTCTGCAAAAGATCAAGGGATCTATCCCAGCCATAACGGACAAAATGCCTTCACAGCTGTCCCGAGCGAAAGAAAGAGTGACAGCAGTCAGAGCCTGGAGGAACAATTTGGATCAAAACACGTACCGACGCACTAAACAGGCCTCCGATGCAATGGAGGACGCATACCGAAAGTACAAAGCCGACACCGAGGCTGTAAGGTTAGCACGTCGAGAATTCAACGAAATGAAAGCAGCAATACTACGCCCGGCAACCACGGAGGGATATATCGAGCTTGCGAAATTGGCCCTCTCATGGGGCAGAAAGACTGTGAGGTATCGATGCTATCTTCCATTCCTTGGGCTAACGTACACATCGGGTCTGACCTTTTCTTCTCTGAACAGATCATCTGAAAGCCGCCTCAAATTTCTCAGGACTTACCGCCAGGCTTATGCATTTGAGGATGTCCGAGGTCACATCATGCGAGCGAACGAGTTTTTGGCCAGTGCCACCAGTGCCGTCGAAGAAGCCCAGAAGTGGTACGATAGTGAGTTCCTCTTGCATCAGACTTCCTGCAAATGCCTCGCTGTGGGGTTCTCAGAGCATCGACTGATGGATCCACGCCGCAGTGATTTGGCACGTCCAACTCCGACACCCGGCGAATAGTGGTCCGCATGGGTCTGGCAGGCCCAAACAGCAAGCATTGGGAGCACCGCTGAAAGTGAAGGTCGGCTACGAAAGTGAAGCCTTCCGGCTGCGGCGCACCAACCCGGATGTGTTCCGAGACGTCCACATCGGGAATTAAGATAACGAAGCCCGGCAACTGCGCACAATCGACCGGGAAGTATTCCGACGAAAGGCTGTCGATGTGGGCTTGGCGGCGTGATATGTCAAGTCTCTTTGGGAGACATAGGTCGGGTTACTCGACGAACGGCCAGCAACAGGGCAACTACACTGAAGCAAGCGACAAATCGACATCTTCAACAGCCGTTGCACGTCTCATATCGTCCCGTGACTGAACCAACTCTTGACCGATATCTCGGACAGACGAAGCGGCTTGTGAGTACGAGTCGTACGTACATGAACACACCGGGTCATCCTTGCAGGCATGCCTTTCAGGAGTCTGGTCGAATCGGAGCCAACGGTCCGACGACTCTAAATATTCGCGAAGGTATCATGCACACTTCGGGTCCAATTCAACAGATTTCAGTCAAGTCTGTCTGCGAGGGATATTTTACCGGGATACGTCATCTGTCCTACAGGAAAAGTGTCATCCGCTCGGATCGTGCACGGCTCCCGCATGTGAACAACAATGACAGGCGATGATCGGGATATGGCTTCGGAGTGAAGCTCCGAATTTATGACGCACAAGTATACACTCCATCCACGAGAGCAAACGCGCCATAAGAGAATTCTTCGTCTTGCCGGCGGGTATCCCTGCCGGAACCTTCTCACGAATCACCGACGAATCATCTCCCGGTGAAGCTCCACTTCTTTCTCCGGGCTGTACGTGCCGCCTCCTCGTTCGCGGCCGCATCGACCCGGGTGTCTATCGCAGAGATCCCCACTGCGCACGCAACTGTTCCAACCAAGCCTGTCGTGAAACCACCTCGCTGTCGCGGCCGTGAAGCAACATCGCCTCCGATCCGATCTCCGCCCAAGCTGTACGATCGAAAGGCGGGAGATACAAGAACCCATGGTCGGGACGACAGACGATCGCTGGGAGAGTCCCTCCTCCTTTGAGGACTCCTTTGAGGAGCTTGGCGTGGCAGGGCGTGCAGAATTGGACGTCGGGGCAGATTCTGCAGACGTGGAATTCTTCGGGGAGGGGGTTACGGCTTGCGCCACAGGCCCCGTCGCAGGAGAACGTGCGTTCCCGGCCGAAGACGAGTTCTGGAGGAGAGGTCTTAGACTCTGCGGCGGCGGTGAGGGTGGTTGTGGAGGCGGGATCGTCCTCTGCTGGCTGCGGAGATGTTGATTGAACCGCGTCGGACGGGATCATTTCCTCCTCCTCGTCATCTTCGTCATCGTCGTCTTTGCGATCAGAGTGGGCATCTGTCGTCGAAGGGATCTCGTCGAAAGTTTCGCGAGTAGTACTACTGCTGCTGCCGATCCCGCTATTACCGCTGCGTCTGGAGGAGCTTTCATCTTCCGAAGTCCCATCAGCACCATCACTATAGCCGGGTAGACTCATCAACCGCCACGCATCGACCGCATCGGAATCCTCATCGACAGCAGCCAGGATAACCGCGAGGTTATTATACCGATCAGATAACTCTCCCAGGTCGTGAAGTCCCGGCCAATCATCGAATTGCTCTTCGAGGAGATCTCTGATGATTTCTCGGGATGCGGTTTCATCGCCGAGTTTGAGGTGTAGGCGTGCGAGGTGGAGATTGGGATTTGTGTCCGGACTGCGGCGGCAGGCGGTCAGGAGCGGTGAGGAGTGGGTTGCGATGGTTGTTAGCTGGGTTACTATGGTGGCGAGGTTCGTTTCTAATTCTGATCTCTGGTGGTGCGGTGAGGGTGTTTCGTTGAGTTGCTTGTGCAGGGCGATGGCACGGGTGAGCAAAGCCCGCGTGGCGTGGGAAACGGCCGTGAGCGCCGCGGTGGTCCAATCTTCCTTGTCATCTGGGCGGAGGATCCTTTGCACGAGTGTGTTTAATCCGCGGTCTTGCTCCGAGATGCTGGGCGAGCAATAGAGGAATATGTAGGCACGGTGGAAAGAGAGCATGTCTGCGAATCTCCTACTATCCTCATCGCCGTCATCGTTAATGAAACCCTCGATGGCATCGTCGTAAAGGGCGCCGATGACCTCGTGCGCGTTTGTGCGAGCGACAGCGAGTAACAGGTAGGAATGAAATTTGGTCATGGGTGCGAGAATTCGGAACCAGTCGAGTCCAGCTTCCTGGGCACCGTCATCGGTCTGGTCAAGCTTCCATTGCTTGACGTGGTCGACAATGAGCGCGTACTTCTCGGCTTCAGTCCAGGTCTTGAAAAGCTCCAGGACGGCACTGCTACATTGAGATCTTTGAAACCTCTCATGTTTCGCGATGTACTGTAGAAATCCGAGGAAACATTCGGCCGCCTCATCGAATTGTTTTAATGATCGATGGTGCTGGCCTTGAATGAACAATACCTCGCTCCAGTATGACCTTGTGAACGCCTCATCGCTATCTTCGGATAACTCGTTTGAAGCCATCATGGTGTGAATACACTCCAAGGCATCGGCATACTCATCAGCGTCCTGGTGGATGCGTGCCCGAAGTAAGAGCAAAGGCCAGTGTCTGTCAGCTCCCGGGTCCGACTTGGCGGTCGAGCAGACTGCCGCAGCCTCCTCGTCAAAGTCATACTTCCACAACGCGAGAGCCGTTCGCGCGTTGAGCTGCACACTGTCTATGGGGACGGATAGTGCTTCTTGAGCGAATGTCAGAAAGTCCTCCAGCTCTGCCCTGGAAGGCCTGGCCCATGGCCCGCAGTCTTTGCTCTCGCCCTCCCAGTGGATCTGGACCGACATTAGCAAAACCACATCTCTTTGTCTGACTTCTCTGATGATGGAGTTACCTTGACCCAGATCCCATAGCTGCAGTCCAATAACCGTACGTCCAGGTCGACAGATTGCAGCCATCTAGCCGCATCCCTCTTGGCAACTTGTGCGAGGATTCGGGCCTCATTTCCAGGTCGTTCCATCATCGCCGTGATCCCCTTCGATCGTTCCGAAGCCGTTGTATAGGCTGCCTTGACGTGTGGATTCTTTAATAGCATCACCAGCTTTTTCAATTTCGCGTCATCGTCCTCACACAGCCATCGGGTAAGCATCCCGTTGGCATAACTCCAGCCCCACAAAGCATCGATGGCCTCCTCATCCCAGAGGATGGCGCATATTAGTTCACCGAGGTCTAGTAATTCCTGCTCGCTCAATTCGTCGGCGTCCATGGCGAGGAGGTGTTCGTCAAGGTTACCACGAGCGTAACGCCGGAGTGGCTTGAAGTCGGCATCGGTGGTTTTCCTGCTGAGGACCTCGAGGCATGTTTGAAAGATATGGGATTCGATGCGAGCTGGAGTCTCGAGATAGATGATGTCTGGGTGTTCAGTGCTGACGTTGCTATATTCTGATGTTGCGGCGCGGAGATGGTCTGCCGAAAAGGCAGCACTGACCCAGTCGTCTTCGTCCAGCTCGAGGAAAGGCTTGAGTTTGTTGTGGATATGTGGATTCAACAAGCAGGGCTCGCCGGTATGCCACAATACAACATTGGTAAGGAACTCTCGACTGAGGTCGTTACTATGGTAGATCCATGGCAACAGGATATCCAGCTGCCTGATGTCCGCTGGCGATAGTGTCTCGTGTAGGTCCCGTAGCACACGGACGCAGGATTCGTGGCTATCCTCTCCCGTGCGGTGAATGGGATACTCAAATGTCGACGGATCCTGAGCTTCATTCGATTCGCCAGGTGTCGGGATTTGAGTCATGATGGGTTCCACCATGATCTCGGATGCGAGGACGACGGCAGGAATGATCAATCGAAGCGTGCATGGAGACAGCGTCGAAAGCGAGCAAATGTCATTACAGCAGTGGAATCATCGACAGGAGTTGTGATGATCCTCCCTTGCCCTAGCATTGAACCGGTTCTATCGTTCAGCTGAGATGCTGTATAGTGGAAGTCGCCGTAATGTAATTGATCAGAGGGGCTAAGGTCTTCTGCTTGAGGCGTCCCTCACTGTAAGCCCTGGAGGCCTGATTATTACCGATTACCGATGATTCATCCCAATGTCAGCATTTTGGCTCCGAAGTGACCGACCATCATGAATCTAACAATGCTGTCCTGCCCTCTACGATGCGTCAAATACGAGTTTTCCAAATCAATGGAGACGAGGGTGGCGAAATTCATCGTTCGGCTTAGTCCTTGCTCTTGTTCATAGACAAAAACACGTCCAGCTGCAATGACCTGTATGTCGTGAATCGAGGATGTCGCCGGCGATGATTAAGTCACGTGACCGTTTGACACGCGCCCCGAGGGGATGATTAATTACCTGGTATGCGCGTTTCCTCTGGTGGGGCAACGCGAAAAGTCTCACACCCCCCGCCAAACTCTCACCCACCCAGTCGATTGATGGCCTATGACTCGCTGTTCCCGGACCAGCAAGCAGGACTCCTGGCTGCACCATAATGCGAGGCTCAACAACAAGTATCATGTCTGTAGTCTAGAAGAAGTGGATAAAAACCTCAAATTCATGTCACCCATGTATACACTCCGTCCACGAGGGCAATACGCTGAAATTCCTCGTCTTCGTACCTTTCCCGTTTATATCTTCGCCAAAACTTCACAATCGCCACAGACGTCACGTAGACCTGCAACATCTTTGCGAGCAGCTTCCGTAGCCGATCCCGTCGCGCATCGATCTGATCTTGTCGCAAAGCCCATCTGGTGCGCAACTGCTCCAACCAAGCCACTTGGGAGACGACTTTACCGCCGTAGAGCATGTTGCCCGGGCCGAGGGCGGCCCAAGCTGGGCGATCAAAGGGCGGCACGTGGACGAATTCGTGATGGGGGTTGCATGTCGTGGGTGGCAGCTGCCGCGCGAGCAGTTTCACATGACAGGGCGCGCAGAGCTGCGTTACGGCGCAATGCTTGCATGCATAAAAGTCTTCCATAACGGCCCAGACGACGCCGCAACCATCGCAACTAAAATTCGGTTCACTGCCGAAGACTAAATCTGACGAGGTTTCGGAGTCTGTGCTCGTGGTTGGATCTGGTACGCTTTCGTCTGGATTCACAGTGACGTTTGCCGCTGCGGATGTTCCCATGCTCGCGGCAGCATCACTGTTTGTAGGCTGCGACCCTGCCATTACCTGGGCATCTAGCAAGTCCGCCTTCGTGCCTTCGGCTTCGTCTTCTGTCGAGATCTTCTCCAGGGTCGAAGTGCTTGATGCACTGGTAGTTGGCTCTTTGAAGTTTGGCAAGTTCGTCAGCTGCCAGGCAGCAATCGTGTCCTGGTCCTCGTCAGTTGCCCCCAGAATTACGGCAACCTTTCCCAGGCGGTCTGAGATGGCCCAAAGCTCCTCTGGTTCCGGCCAGTGGTCAAATTGCTTATGCAGGAGGTCTTTGATGATCCGCCGGAACTCGACTTCATGGCCAACCTTTAGCTCCAGTCGGGCCAAGGCGAGCCGAGGATCCCGGTATGGGGTACGTCGACAGGCTTTTAGCATGTCCGAGTGAAAGGTCGCGATGTGGCGCAATTGCTTGAGCACTTCCTTGCGTCCTTTCTCCACATTCTGCTGATGCTCCTCCGATGCTGTCTCAACTTGTCTCTGCAGAACAATGCCGCGATTGAGCAAAGTCCGAGTGACGTGCGTAACAGCGATGAGCTTCGGAGAGTACCTATCGTAATCACCGTCCTGCGCGCTAAGAATCATTTCCATAAGCATCTTCAGTCCGCTTTTCTGCTCTTGGTCGCTTGTAGAGCAGTAGAGAAGTATGCATGCGCGGTAGAAGCACAGCGTCTCTGCCAATATCTTGTTATCGCCCTCACTCTTATTCTTTGTGAGACGCTCGTTAGTGTTCTTATAAAGAGCACTGATGACCTCGTGTGTGTTTGTACGAGCAATCGCAAGCAAAACATAGGGATGGAAATTGGGCATAGACAAAGCCATGCGGAACCAGTAAAGACTGCTTTCCTTGGAATTATCAAACCTGTCGGTTTTCCACTGCTTGATGTGATCAACGATAAGAAGGTAATTCTCAGACTCAGTCCATGTCTGGAGAAGCTGCACGAGGGCATTTCTACACACAGACATCTGTTCGTTATCATCCCCTCCATGCTGCAGAAGTTTGAGGTAACAGCGGGCTGCTTCGTCGACTTGACTCAAAGACTGATGGCATTGTCCTTTAAGAAGCAACAATCTATTCCAGTAAACCTTTGTAAACTCGGCGTTAGCTGTTTTGGATAGTTCGTTTGTATCCATCATAGTGCGTATGCATTCCAGTGCATTAGTGTACTCCTTGGCCCCAACGTGGATAACGGCTCGTAGTAGGAGCAAGGGCCAATGTCTGTCGGCCCCGGATTCTAATTGAGAAATTGAGCAGACATCCACAGCTTCCTTAATATACCCATTCGCCCAAAGGGCGACAGCTTTGCGTGTTTCAAGCTGCAATTTGTCTACAGAGACAGCGGAGGCGTCTTGAGCGAATTCCATAAATTTCTCCACTTCCTCGATGGAAGTGGTTGCCCATAGATAGGAATCTTTGCTATTCTTGTCCAATTGGATCTATCCCCACATCAGCAAAACACATATATTTGTGCAACTCCCGCGATAACCCACCTTGGCCCAGATATCATAGCTGCATAGCAAATACCGCATGTCTAGATCGACAGCACGAAGCCACCGAGACGCGAGTCTCTTAGCAACTTGACGGAGGATTTGGGACTCGTTCTCGATACCCGACATCATCGCCAAGATTCCCTGCGATCGCTCCGAGTCCGACGAGTAAGCGGCCTTAACGTGCGGATGCTTCAAGAGCTCGACCAGCTTTTTTAGGATGTTGTTGTTATAGTCGCCCAGCCACCAGGAACGTAGATCATACGCGTAGTCCCAGGACCACCATGCATCAATGGCTTCGTCGTCCCAGAGGATGGCAGAAAACAATTCACCGAGACGAAGTAGTTCTGTTTTGCCGATTTCATAAGGCTTTAAAGCCAAAAGATGTTCGTCAAGCCTGTAAGAAGCATAGCCACGAAGTGGCTCGAAGTCAGTGTCGGTCGTGTTATCAGCAAGAGCCTCAAGGCAGGTCTGCAGGATACTAGCTTCGATGTGATATTCGCTATCGAGTTGAATCCTTTCTAACGATCCAGAGCTTTTCTCGCGGAAGAAATCGTCGAATTGAAAGCGCTTGTACAAGTCATCGGTGCAATACGCTTTGACGAAGTGCTGCACCAGGTCGACTTCACACTTTTGAACTCGAGCAATTCGCAAGGCCACATCGGTCGCTTGGATCGATTTGATGCTGATGTTGCTGACGTCCGATGTCGCAACACGGACATGGTCCTCGCCAAATGCTGCACTGACCATGTTGCGTTCATCCAGCTTGAGAAGTGCTTTGAACTTCGTCCGAATGTGGGTCTCTAACCAGCAGACCTGGCCGGTTTTCCATTGCACGACGGTTCGAAGCAGTTTCTGACTGAGGTCTCCACCGTAGTAGATCCATGGCAGCAATATGTTTAGCTCTTTGATATCTTCCGGCGATAGCGTATCGTACAAGCCCAGCAATACGCGGTCGAAGCTTTCCTGATCGCTTTCACCCGCGCGACCAATAAGCTTTTCGAGAGTCGAGGGATTCTGCGCTTCACTTACTTCATCTAGTTTGTGGACAAGCTTCGCGAAATCGCCGCGCGTTCCACGGACGAATTCTGTGGCAATGTCTCGTTCGGGATCGTTCAGAATGCCTCGAAAATCTCCATTCTCCTCGCATAGCTTGTTTATGCGATGCTTTGTATAAAGAAGAAGATCATCATTGTTTTTCGGGGATGGTGCACGCTCGTCGTCATCCCAACTAAGATCGGACACGCCGAGTGAGAAGATAGGGCACTTGTCTGAAAGACCTATCAAATCCTCATGGCGACCGGAGAGAAAGAGATTCATGGAGATATTGCCTGACACGATGGTCCGATTGATCAGGTCTTTCATCATTGTACCCTCTTTGTCGCCAGGGTAGCCATCGATCACTAGGAAATAATGATCCTTGAGGGAATCTGCCAGACCGACGACTAATGTCTCCCAGATCTTCGAAGCACTGCTAAAGAAGCCTGCATCAGGGCACTTTGAGGCCGCTTGAGCGGCGTAGGCTTCATTGCTCCGTGCAAGCTGGTACACCAGGGCGCTGATGCAATCATCTGCGCTGGCGCCCTTCTCGTAAAAGTAATAGGCCACAAAAACGTGCTCGTTGGCTGCGCGATTGGCATAGTCCGTCAAATAGTCGAGTACATGGCTACAAAGGTAAGTCTTGCCAGAACCTTCGTTGCCTTCGAGCATGATGAGTTTGTGCTCATTCTTCAGCTTTGCCCAGAGCTTGAACTCATCTGACGCGAGCATCCATTTACCAGTTCCTGCCAGCTTGCGGACAGCCTTGTGCTGTCCTTCCCACTTCCGGTCCGACTCTCGAAGGTGGAGTGCGTCTGCGATTTTTCTGACGTTCTCCTCACTGTCCTTGTTTGCTTTGAGCTGCCCGACGAGCATGCCCGTCGTCTCGGTAGTCTTAGCCACGTGATCGATGCTGTCCTTAATGTCTTTGATAGCTTCGAAATGTCTGCGGCATTCCTCCTCGTGGCGCTGCCTTTCGACGTCGGTCGCCTGGATCCACCGAGCGAGACCCTTGACGTCACCAAGGATCTCATCCGCCGTTTCGCCGGTGAGGTCGAAAGACACACGCGTCAGCTTTTCGAGGTTGCTCTTGACGTCGTCGTCATCGCTGAAGAGCACAACGGCACAGAACAACTTCGCTTTGGTGCGCTTACTGCGAGCATGATTGCGGCAGTGAGCCTGTACCGTCAGGAATATGCTTAATCCTTTGTAGGCCGATCTCCGCAAATGAGGAGGCAGACGCGCCTCTCCTTCGGCCCGGGCTCGTTCCAGATGATGTACTATACGTGCAAGAAATGTCGCGCAATGCTCCAGCAGCGTTATGTAGCCGTCAATCACTTTACTGTACTCTTTGCCGGCATTGACGACGAAGCTGATAGCATTGTAACAATGGTCTGCTGGGCCAAACGCAATGCTGGCGGCGGACGCAAGTACGCCACCGAGCTTCTGCAGGAGCCCGCCCGTTTTGAGGAGGATTTCCTTTGCGTACGATTTGTTCGCCGATCGGCTGGCCTCAACATCGCGCAGCACTTGTGCCACCAGGGCTTCATGTGACTGTTGTCGTCGCTCTTCGCCCTCGGGCGAGAGGGTGGGGTCGTCGGTTATAGCTGCATACTGCACGAGCATGTCCGCCCAAACATCATCGAGGTCGCGCTCCGTGTCGAATTCCAATTCTGGGTCTCGGACGGGCTTCACCATGGTGCCGATTGTGATGACGGTGGAAGCAGATGGCGGTGGGAGCAGTCTGCTTGCCTGCGTTGGAATTCTGATCGCGCTCGAGCGTGCACTACAACAGCGACGGCGAGCAAGCACCATTATATCCTACATTCTCGGGCCCCGTATTGACTCTGACCATTGCGTATCGACGGCTCCTTCTCAGCTGCATGCAGCGTAGATCGTTGCAATTGGCGAATTGCAATTCTCAGGACCCCTCGACGCGGAAAGAATAAAGTTCGTGGCATCCCACCACGAGGTGCAGTTTGGCCCAAAACAGCATTCCTGCTCCGACGCAATGATACTGCACAACGCATTGGCTGCAAAATTCGCCTCGTGATTGCAAGCGGACCGGTGAGGAGCACGAGATGGTGGGCGTGTGTGGCCTCCCATGTGCCTCCCGAAAAGGGTCAGTGAGCCGAAATGGGAAATCATGATCTTCGTAGAGGACCTATCCTATGCATGCTTCGGTTGACAAGGACAAACGCCACTCATGTGAACCGCTATCATCCCGTGTAGGGAAGAAAGTAAGATAAGCGTGACGTTTCGCGCGCCGGAAGCTTCGAAAATCTCTCACTGCAAGGTCTGTCGTACTCTCCATGGAACAGATATGTTCCTAAATATCCTGCTTGCTGGCTGCAAGATCTCGTGGAGTCTACTTGACGGAGATGATATGTCCGACGCCAGTTTTGGAGACCTCTGCAAAGTCCCAGCATCGCTGAAGCTCAGGTACAGTACAGGTGTAGGCCAAATCGGACGGCGCACTCCAACGCATGCTACCACACGAGACCGGTGACGTCTCGTACCAGTTCATGCATAGGATTGCGCGGTCCGATTCGCCCAATCCTTGTACATGATTCGCGGCTGTATTTGCTCGGATCATCCTGGACATGCTCGACCTCGCTCATCCACTCCGATGTGTCTTTCGAGCTTCATCGCATTTGGAGCTGTAGGCGATGTAACTCGGCGATCGTTTCAGGCCTTGCGTAGTCTCATGCTTCCTCTCTCCGAACTTGATTTGGCTCGATCGGGAGCATTTGTGTTCATCCGTCTAACCATCGCAGCGCAACCCATCCGGAACGTAAGATTGCTCAGATGCTCGATGCAGACATATCGTTAGTCCTCTAGGGCCAAGTCAACGTGTCTGATATGCGTACATCCATCAGCAATGAGCGAGAAAAGAGGCTACAAGACCAGCCCTGGAGATGTCACGATGAACCAGGGAGATCGTGCTGGAGATGCCTTCCCTGCCTAGGCACGCGTCGCGGAGGGGAGGGTTACGCGCATTTCCCGTGAAAGGTGCCCAGGTGGGGGCAAAGCAAAAAGTCTCCACACCCCACCAAACTTTCACCCCAATGGCGTGTCATTTGCGACAACAGCCGACGTTCGGGATGGGAAAAAAGAGACCGGCGTCGGTAGTCGACTCACTCACTCATTTCGCATTACGCGCCGTATCTCGGTCGGTTGATGGTGAGAGTATCTAGTACTGTGAAGGGAGATAGCGGCAACCTAGGCCGCGCCCGTGGAGCGAGGGACGAACAAAACCATCGCTTTCAATTGGCTTCGTCCTTCTCCTTCTTTCCCTCTTTCTTTCCCTTTCACAAAATGGCGACTCTTACTGTATCTTCCCGGAAACGCTTCTCATCCTTCTCTGCGTCTGCTTTGGTCTTGCAGAAGTCGCAACCACATCATCCACCGTGATCGGCCACCGTGATTCATTTCCACAACCTTCACCAAAAAGTAATATTGAAGAAAAGCCTGCACTGCAACCACCGCCATCGTCAATTGACTGCAAATCATGGCGACTATCGTCCTCGGCTCGCAATGGGGTGATGAAGGCAAGGGTAAAATTGTCGATGTCATCGCCAGCAGCGGCATTCAATTGTGCTGTCGCGCACAGGGTGGACACAACGCCGGTCACACGATCGTCAAAAATGGAACGACATTTGACGTGCACATCTTGCGTGAGTGGCTGAGAATCCATGCTGGGAAGGGAAACGGGCGATTTTCAGCTAACCTATTCACTTTTCGATTGCAGCATCCGGCGTCCTGACAGACGGCTGCGTCAACCTCATCGGTTCCGGCTGTGTCGTCTACGTCCCAGGTCTGTTCAAAGAGATCGATACCCTCGAGAAGGGCGGCATCAACACCAAAGACCGCATCCTCGTCAGCGACCGGTGTCACGTCGACCTCGACCTGCACACCAAGGTCGATGGACTAGAAGAGGTCGAGCTGGGCAAGCGCAACATTGGTACCACAGGCAAGGGTATCGGTCCAACATACTCCACCAAGGCCGCCCGGAGCGGTATCCGGGTCTCCGATGTCTTCCACAAGGAAGTCTTCGACGAGAAACTCCGTCAGTTGGCCGCAGGATTCCAAAAGCGATATGGCAGCCTCCTCCAATACGACCCGGAAGACGAAATCGCCCGCTTCGACCAGTACCGTGAACGACTCCGCGAATACGCCACCGACCAGAGCCCGCTCATCGAATCCGCCGTCCGCGGCGACGTCAAGATGCTCATCGAAGGCGCCAACGCGCTGATGCTGGACATCGACAACGGCACCTACCCCTACGTGACCTCGTCCAACACCGGCCTCGGAGGCATCTTCACCGGCCTGAACATCCACCCGCGCAAGATCCGCGAAATCATCGGCGTCGTCAAGGCCTACACCACCCGCGTCGGCAGCGGCCCTTTCCCCACCGAACAGCTCAACCCCTCGGGCGAGAAGCTGCAGACCGTCGGCCGCGAATTCGGCGTCACCACCGGCCGCAAACGCCGCTGCGGCTGGCTCGACCTCGTCGTGGTCAAATTCTCCACCGCCATCAACTGGTACGACGCGCTGAACCTCACGAAGCTGGACATCCTCGACGACTTCGACGAGATCCTCGTCGGCACGGCCTACCGCGTCGACGGGCAAGTCCTGCCCGCCTTCCCGGCCGATCTCAGCGTCCTCGAGAAGGTCGAGGTCGTGTACGAGACCCTGCCCGGATGGAAGAGCCCCACCGTCGGCCTCCGACGCTGGGATGACCTGCCCGAGAACGCGAAGAAGTACATCCTCTTCATCGAGAAATCCGTCGGCGTCCCGATCAAGTATGTCGGCACGGGCCCGGGACAGGAGAACATGATCATCCGGGATTAGAGCACGGGGTTCTGTCGGGAGCGGGGACAACCCTGATGGATTTGGGATCAAATAGAAAAGAAATAGGAAGACCACGGGAATATTTCTCCGCAGACGCCTCGTCTTTTTTCTCTTTCTCTTCCGATCGCTGAACCATTTCGTATCGCCGTTACTTTCTTGTTCTTCTCCTTCATCATCGTCACGTGTCGTTCTGTAGCAAAAGGGGAAAAAAACAGAATGGGAAAGCCTTCCAGGTAGGAAGGGCAGCATAGATGGGGTGGTATGAGAGACGTCTCCCTCCCTCCCTCCTGTCCTCCTCTTTTTGACGCTCTCGAGATATGTTCTGGGGTTATGAAATCCGGTACCGTAAAGAATCATCGGCGGCAACGAGTTGCCACATGCACACGATTGCACCTCCGAAACTGTACCCAGCATGAAAATTGTGAGAATCTCTTAGATCGAGAAGTCCATAAGGTTGACTTTTTCTTTTCTCTTGGTCAGTTGTTATACTTCATTTTGGGTTCTCCTTTGGGAATCTATTTTCCGTTATGCTGCGTTTTCGTTTTTATTCTCTTTCTTTTCGGCAGGGAGAGGGAGATGGAGCGAGGGAGGGAGGTGTGATTGCATGACAAAGCCTTTCAAACAGTGAGGAAGTAATAAGACAGACGTTGGTGGAGAAATGTCGCGAAAAACAAGAGGAGTACATAGTTACAACAGGGGAAAGGTGCCTTTTTCCCATGTCCCCTCCTCCCCTCACGGCGCAGGAACAAATAGCATCCTCTCCGTGATCTCTCTCCCCCTCCGTCCCCCGGATCGCGAGACAGACCTCCTCACGATCTCCAGCTCACTCCTCCTTCGCGCCGCCCCGTCCGCTCCTCTCCGCCTTCTCGATGCTCTTCTTATCCGTCTTGATCTCCGCCGCGCCGCCGGCCCCGCCGGGGTTCATCATGCCCATCATGCCGCCGGCCGCGGCCTTCCACGGCCGCGCGAGGTCGCCCGTCGCGGGCTGGCCGAGCAGGTGCACTTTGACCAGGTTGCCCTCGAAGGCGCCCTTCAGCGGGATGATGCTCTGGATCAGCAGCGGGTTCGTGTACGCGAAGTACAGGTGCATCACCGCCATCATGCCGATGCCCATCAGTTGCGATTTGAACAATCCGCGCAGCTGTTGGCTGTCGTAAGCGTGCACGGTCGTCGTCACGGCTTTGGGCTCTTCGGTCGAACCCATGGGTGCGGGCTCGATGTATTTTAGGACGGTCATGTCTGGAGGTGAGAGAGAGGGGGAAATGTCAGTGGGCCTTTCTTCTCTCTTACGCAGTCATGTGCGGGTTCCTGTGATTTGAGCTATGGTTTCCATCGCCACGCGACAGTTGCCTCCTCTTCACCCATCATGACGCTCCTCCATTTGCGAATCTGTTCTTCTCGCGGAACGAGACTGTATTGCTGATCTCGGGTCCCACTTCTTGCACCAATCCCTCCCTCTTTTCCATCACTGCTCTCCCTCCAAATTTTTCTCCTCATCCCGTCATCGCACCGCACCGCAACCATCTCCTCACACACATGAACGAGGCAAAGAGAAACATAAAAAACATACCGCGCTTCTTGTCGATCTGCATCTTGGTGTACATGTACACTCCAAAGATGATGACGTTGCTCAGGATGTACAGCGCACGCACGCCGTTGAGGACGTTCGGGTCCTCAAACGGGATCTTCTTGGCCGCTTGCATCATCACGAGGATGATGACCAGGTTGGTGCTGCATCGAGGGCATTCGGGTCAGTATGGCATTGATCGCGATCGCGATCGCACACGCTTGATCTGGCGGGCGGGATGGGTGGCGATGCTGCTGCTGCTGCTGCTGTCGCCTTGCGCGCGACTGGTGGTGTTGGAACGATGGAGGCGATGGGTGATGGGACGTACATTTGGGGATTCATGATGGCGGTGGTGATGTGCTTTTCACTGTGTATGGAGTTGGTTGTGGTGATGGTTTGTCAAGTCGAGTAACAGGGTGGAGGGAATGTCGATATCAAAATTGTCCGGTATGTGATGGAAATTAATTGTTTGTTAATCCCGTGGTCACTCTCCACGTTGCTTCTTCTTCGGCCTTCTCCCGCCGTCCGTCTCTGCGAAATTCACCTGGCCGGGCGCCGTTTGACGGGCGGATCTAGCCGCCCCCATGCCCGGCCAGATTGTACCGCCACTCTCTTTCTCTTTCAATGTTCGACTTCCCCTCAGTATCTTCGTGCTTCGTCGATTTTTGACCGAATATATGCCCGGACGTCGTCGCGAGGATGTGCAAAATGACGTTCGATATCTACGGATCAAGTGTACAAGCACGCACAGACTGAAATGGAGCCATGTTGGCATTTCCATCACAACAACCCGCCTGGACATGGCTTGCCAGAGGTCTTTCGGAGACACTCTCCGAACCTCATCTCCGTGAGGCGCATGAAGAAAGATATCTATGTCGTATCCTTGTATTAGATGCTTAGACGTTCTCATCTCGAGCCATGGATCAGAACTAATCTTCTGGCGCTGGTGCCAGTAGACGAGAGGTCCAGGTCCAGTGCAACGGCGCACGCATTTTTCTCAAACTAGGTGTACGTACACGGCGACTTCATCGACCCGCCAAGCCGTGCTGCATGGTATCACCTTGGAGCTTGCTCGATTCACGTTGGTGGTATACTTCATGCAAACCCTCGACCGGGTGCAGGGGAACATCAAATGAGAGCATTGAATACAGCCGGGATCATGCTAGCCAGTGGACTGCACTCATCAGTGAACGGCGCCATCTCGGGACCAGGGTAGTAGCAGGTGTTGACGATGCTGTCAAATTTCAACTCCTTCCGAAAATTCGTGGGTCGAGGGCTATACAGCATATTCCTACTATAATGAACATCTCAGCTGGTGCCCGGACCTCAAGAAGGAATGTTATCGGAATGAGCGTATGTACGCAACCGTACAGAGACGGGCTATTGCCCTGCTGTGCTAGTATTGCCAAAATGAGAGCTCCCACAATGGGTGAGAAATTGGGTAATATATAGATATCCGGCGATAGCTAGCCTCCCTTCCAGGGCTCGCCTCTAATCCGATGGCGCGAATGTACGCCGCACGAGCGCTGGTCGCGGCATGACGATTCCTCTGGCAGTCGTTTCGAGACGGAATATGCCTTGTCGGGAGAGCAAATCGGAGAATTCCATCTGCACACCCGTTCCCCGAGACTCGTGGAAATTTCCTTTTCGAGCAATCCCATCCAGCTTTCAGTTCGGGAATTGCCCAAACGGGCATCAAAGCAACGTGATGTCCACTTCAGGTGAACTGGTTTCTTCGATATCGATAGTCTACCGTTTGAACATTGCCGTAGTCAATGATCACCTTGGAAAGTATTAAGGATCGGAACACCATAGCCCGTAATTGGTAAATTAGGGTTGAGGTTGCAATAATACCGAGCTACTACAAAGTAGTTATGCTTTGGAAGTATTATTTCAAAGCTATCGCATCGTCAGCATCGGAAGAAAGAGGATCGCGAAGATATGTCGTGGGGTATGCAGGGTAGCTGTGGAATATGGAGACTGTTTGGTTGGCTTCAGTGACAACGTGTCGATCGGGTCCCAGCAGTAATCGAATTTCTGTTAGCTGTCGGAAACCCACGAGACAAACAAGGTCAAATTACTGATCTCTTCATCTAGATTGGTGTTTCTTTGATCACTTATGAAGGCGTATCAGTTTAAAAGCCTCCTTGTTTGAAGCATTGTTTCGCTCTAAAAGATTCCATCCACCCCCATTGTGTCGCCGAACGCAGCCGCGGTAATACAAACGTCGAATTGACATACTTCACCCTCGATAGTCGCAATATTTTGGATACAAGGCTCGAGAGGCTCCGAGAAGCAACAACAGTCTACCACTGTTCCTATGGAACTGGGAAATTACTCACTGATTTTGTCGGGAGGCTTGACGAAGTGCCAGGCCATGAGAATCGAACGAGTGAAGAAGCGTAATTCGATATTCGTGCTGGAGTGATGGCGAGTCCGGCACAATGGAATTATCCAAATGCCAAAGATTTCTCATGGTAGTGGTACCCAGCTTCCCAGCACGCGTAGATAGAGAAGCATTATTCAGGTCGAACAGCGTCCGCTTGAGACCATCGTTACAACCGAGGAGATTCTGAAGTGGATTCTTGGTTTCCCTGTGAGAATTCCAGCGGGCCTTTATTCATCAAATCGAGGAGGTTTGATAAAATATCGTACAATTTCTTTGCGCCGTAATATCTGATACATGTTTTGATCAGGATCAACCTAACAGCTACTGCCAAGAAGCTCAATGGCGGCCACGATATAGTGCCAGGCTTCAAAACCGGGAATTTGGAGAAACAATTGCAGGTATGTTTATTTAGAACCGTTTCTTCAAACCCGCCATAGGCTCTGAGATTGTGTATTTGGCGCGACACGTGTCCGGATAATCAAATTGGTAGGAGTTGCGAGTGCAATAAGTAGAATCTGAGAACGCGAGTTGGCATGCGAAGCCAATCGTATCGATGGTGCCTTACAGCATGAGTGGAATGACGATTCCGCCGACGGAACCGCTCTTATTTACGATTCCTGTTACCAGAGCTCTTCTTAGGTCGAAGAAATGACCAACGCTAGCAACGACAGGAGTCTTGAGCAGAGCTCCACCAATTCCTCCGAACATGCCGTAAACCAACATCAAATGTCAGTATCCTGATGGACTCAATCAGTTATCGTATCAAGAGACGTGCTAAGGGAGCCCCACGTTCACAAGTCCCTAGCAACATCATCGATGCAACAAGTGTAGAGCTCCCGAGTACCACCAACAATCTGGGTCCTCGCCGATCAAAGACATTTCTAACATATAACCTGCAGAAAAATTTGAAGAAATGGTTGACGTTAAAAATCCATCCAATCTTAGTTGGTGATTTATAGGTTAGCAGGTAGGTTTTAAGATAGGCTTGAAACACAGCCGTTGTATTGACCATGCCCAAGACAAGGGTGAGAGCGAGCATTTTGGGATCAATCTTGGGTGCGTATCCGCAGCTGCAAGAGGATCAACTTAAGCTCTACATCCACCAACTGCCGACATGTTTTCACTTTCACATACACATTGTTTATATGTCTTCCGATGTTGGCTTCACTCAATCCGTTGGTAAAGCAATCGGCTACGAGAGCATCATCCCTCAGCTACAAACAATGGTCGGAAACAATGACGCAGGGATAATTTCCGCCCTGATTACAAATAACATTGGCGAGGCCGACGAGGTCTGGAGTAAGGTCCTAGAGCCCCTTGCCATTAAAGGCTCACTAGCAACACATATGTCAGAGACCAAGTCATTCCATGAATCCATATCTTGGAATGAAATACAAACTCTGAGAATCATGAATATCGCCGAACACCAATGCACAAGTGTGACGTGTTTACTTTTCAATCGCTCGCCTTTTATGACCTCGTGCATTCACCCGCAAAAGTTATCTCAGAGTGATGAGGTCTGATCACAGGAGTAGGCTCTGTCATGGTCCTCGAAACATTCCCCCCATCGAAACTCTGATAAGCCGCCCTCCCGCCAGCGTTGGGCACTTCAATCATACCCTCTTGATTGGCTGCGCAGTATCCCTTGCAGGAACCCCTCCAAACAAGTGGGTCTTGACGAACGATAATATTCCCACTCCGCAATCTAGCGACCGTGCTTACTATCGTACCTCCATGAAATCAACAGTCGCATGGCAGTCCGCCTCTCCTCCTGCCCCTCATTCGATTCCTCGTCGCACTTCGCCGCCCCTCGTCACTCCTACCTGCGGTGCGCTTGATCACACTGCTCCCAAACGAGCGGTAGTACATGAACCAGGCAATCGAGTGAGATCCTCGATATTGTCCAAGCCTCATGCCTACATAATGGAATATCTTAGGTCGCTTATAGGTCTTGCGAGACGTTTTCGAACAGTCAAGCGCGTGACAGAGTTGGCATTTGGACAAATTTAGTTGAGTACATATGGCTTCAAAGTGTAATGACATGCTGCTTCACAGGGAAAGCCTTCGATCAACAGCTCCCGACCTCGTACGCATCCCAAAGGAAGTTTGGGGCGATGCATTCGTCGTCCTCTCCATTGTCATAAGCTTCTTCAAGTTCGTATCAATTCATACAATCATCGAACGAGCCGCATAAATACAGAACGTAATTCCTCAAGTTGTGAATCTCTAAGCTCCGTGATTCTCTGGAGTCAATGCGCATTCGGTGTTCCCGCCGCCCGAGACGACGCCGCTTGGTGTAGACTCGCATTCCGGGTTCGGGTAGACAACGAACTCCCAAGCATTAGCTGCTGCTATCGTGAGGAGAAGCATCGACAGGAGCGATGTCGATCCCATCTTGGGCTGCAGACTCGTCGATTCTGGGAGGGGATTTTCTCGGCCTGACGGATATACAGTCGTCTTCGTAGGTTGGATCGTCCGCGGTGTGTAGGGCTGTGAAAAATGTGAAGATGGAATGTCGAAAGCTTTGGAGGGTTATCTTCTGAGGGATGTTTATGATGATGTCCCGACGCCATTGTATCGCATTTATGAGATAGCGGATTGGAAATGGTTCGTTCGCCTCCAGGTCGGCCTCGTATTGCTTGAAGACTACGTCCCTCCAGGTGCGATTGAGGTTTCTGGTCGTCATGATCGAGCTGGTATAATTGTTGGCGAGCGGATCCTTTATGAATCGTTCCGTTTGGGGGTGGATTTTTATCACGATGATCTCCATGTCCCTGCCTCACACGTGATGTTGACTTCACGTGCCTTTGGGCTTATCGCCCTTATCCGTCCTTCGCCCGTCCTTCGCCTCAATTCGTCGCGCCCGTCCTTCGCGCTCGTCTTCACGCCGTCCTTCCGCGCTAGCGTATACGCCCACTCTCTCCTGTACCTAGGTAGACATTGGCCCCCACGTTACTGACACGACACTCTTCGATTTCGTTGGGACGTCTACAACTTAAAGATATTTTGAGGATTTCGACGGAAACAAGGTCGCGATGATCATTATGGACGGCACAATTCAAACAGCTTCACTTGTTCCCAGGTTGAAGCAACCCACGGTGCGATCGCGATCCTGGCAAGAACGGGAGCATTGCTGATTCGTCATTTGTCCAACTTATTGAGTTACGGCACGAGAAACTCGAGGTCCCCCCTTGGTTGTCTCGATGCTTTCAAATCGTCCGTACAACCCACAACCCACAGCCAACTGGCCAATAGAACAAGGCCCAAGCTGCCAAGTGTAAACAGTATAGCAGAGATTCGGACCACGGCTCGATACGACTGCGACTGCGACTGCGACTGCGACTGCATCCAGAAGGAGGGCACAGATATCGGCAAATTACGCAGTGCTACAAAGACAGATTAGCTGCTTCAGAGCTCACAGCAGGCTATGTAGTGCAGCGAGGCCTTTACGCAATCTGTCGTCTGGTAGTCGAAGAAGTCTTCGCACATATGAACCTCGTCAGAATATGCGAGAGGACGATAGTCCATTCTATCGGTTGAGGCTTGTACCAATTCTGACCTTGCTGACATATCGTACTGATTTCGTGTGATGTCTGATTAGAGCGCATAGAACTGGTTAGAGACCGACCAGCTTGCGAAGGATTTATGACCCACGCGGCAGCTCTTCGAGAGGAAAACTCGACCAATCATCTCGGAACTTCGACCAATCCTCTCGAGAATCGTCAGTGCCATCTCGAGAGGGCCAGATGGAACGGCAGATACCCCAAATCCAAGGCTGTTCATGATGGGACATGAATATGACGTCTCTTTCCCTGAACATGAGTCGCCTTTCTAGCTGCAATTCCTTGACCGTAAAATCTTCTTCTTCATCGCTCCGCGGACCCCGCTCGATTAGCCATGATCGAGCTAACTCGTGGATGACGCCCTTGAACTTGTATGACATCCGTAAGCCGGTGCCGTATTCACCCGCTTCGGTCGGCCACAATTTAAGTCGCTCCAGCGGCCTGCCGGTTTTGATCGGGCTGATGGTCTTCCAGATTGAGCAGGCTAGTGCTTCGTCAATAGCACAATTGATCAAGGTCTCCTTCACATCGCCTATCTTTAACCATTGACATTCAGCGTCTACGGGCTCTCGATCCTCCCCGTCGAAATCAGGCTCGTACGTAGGGTCTCGGGTTACCCGCCAATTAGAGCAATCTAATATGAAGGAGAGGGCTCGTAGTGCCTTCATCTCGCCGAAACATTTGTATAATTCGGCCTCAGATGCTCTAGACATGTTGCGCTTCACTAGTATAGTAAGCTCTTCTAAATTCGGACACTGATCCCGTAGTTGTAAAACGCAATCCTTAGTAAAGTAAAAAGGTAGATCCTGTGGATCGCGACCGTTTGGTTGAAAGGGTATTACCTCGAGAGGATGGAGGCTGAGTTTCCTAAGCGACTGTCCATGATGGGTAAAAACAGTATCGACGATCTGATAATCTATCGGCCCGACGATAGATAGTTGTCTTAGAGGTTTAAAAGACCGGAAGAACGAAATTGCCTGATGACTGAAATGAGGCCTTTCTACCCATAGATCGTTGCGTGCAAGATAGACGGAGAGCGTTTGAAGGCGGGGAAATGACTGGGTCTGCATCCATTCCATAGTCTCGCCAGTAAGTCCACCCCGATGATTATTGAGCCACCCGCCGAGAGCGAGATGTTGCAAAGAGGTAAAGTCGATATGTCTGGCCCAATCCTCTAGTGCTTGAGGGTCAATCAACCGCGTAATACCTCTAAGCGATAGAGACTTTAGTAGTCCTTTCTTCCTAGGAACAAACCCTGGGAGGCTTCGCCACGACTTTCGAGTTCTTGGCCAACGAGAGCTACGAGAGCCGCCTGGGGAGAGGTTAAGGACAATGATCTCGCTTAGATTCGGAGCAAGACTAGAAGCTAGCTCCATTACAGCCTCTAGGTTAAAATCGTCCGTTCCATTACTGTCGCGTGGAGTACAAATAGCCTTAAGCGTAGAGAGACAAGGCGATGTAGCAAGCTCCATCTCGTAGGCGTGAGGGGTAGTACAAAGTAAGGATCGGAGGTTAAAGGTTAGGTGATGGAGCCTACACCGGGGATGTCGCTTATGTAGTAGTCGAAGCAAAGTCGGCGGAAATTGGCTTCGGCAATCGAAGACGAGATCTTCGAGCGAGATTTCGGCTTTGTTAAGGAGGTCAACTAACGGAGCCCATGCTATGTCTTCATCCGACGACGGCTCGATCACATCCCGATCGGGTACTACATACATGCCTCTATAATAGATTTTATCCTCATCTAGCAGTGGGCTCACCATGTCAAGAGAATCAGTCCAAATCGACCCATTAGGCCAACGTTCGGATGAACGCTCGAGTTCCTTGCCCCTCAAAGCTCCTTTGATGGTGATATGCCGAACGCAGGAGAAGGAACTGGTATACGAGAGAGCATCCCGAAGTGCGATAATATCGCGCCGCAAGTCTTCAGGCTCATAGACCGTAAGATAAATTCGCTCGAACACAGCGAAAAGTGAGGCTTCGTGGCAAGCAACGCTCGTCAAGCTGAAGTTCCGTAAGGCGGATGGCTCAAGACCGCCTGCGATATGCTGTCGGAGCTCGAGTGGCAATGAGAGCAGAGACATCTTGGTCGCGGGCAAAGCTGGTGAAGTTTGAGCAGTTGTCTTGGTCGTTGCGACAAAAGCAGCTGTGCGGTGCAAGTAGGTCTCTTCAAAGCCCGTGATGGCGTCGATGTCGTCAATGTCGGAGCGACCCTTCGGATTCAGTACAGCGTACGTGCCGTCCTCAGACTGATCCTTCTTGAATTACACCGACGAGCCTCCGCCGCCCGAATCTAGGATCATGCAGACAAATCTTCATGGTGGTGTAAGAGCATTACACGGCCGGAGACGTGGAGGGTGCGTCTCCCACTGATCGATCGTCCGTTTGACGTTCGGATGCAGCTTTCGGCCCGAATGGACAACCCCGCCACTTCCTCCGGGCTGCCGTCACGGCGATGCGCTAGCCGCTTTGATGAGATTCGTGTACCGACCGCACTTCATCACCCGCCTTCTTCATGCTGAAAAATGCAGGAGTGCATGGCCTTCGCGATACGTGCACAATGAATACACGTCCACGTCGCTCCATATCAGGGAAGAGCCCGGATCATCGACGCCGGGTCTTATGACTGTGGCAGTCTGTGGTAGCGACGGATATTGGACCTCCCGTATACCGGATTAAGGGCACGTATCCCTCACTTCGCGCCATGGATCCGACGCTTTGCTACATACTCCTGCATAGTATATGCTGACACGCCCGCGGCCCATCAATTCATGTATCGCCTGGTAAAAATTGACGACCCTTTCTTCGAGTATCCCGCTTGGCGATGAGGTATTCTAATGCGATCAAAGGGAGGCCAAGAACTGTAGCTGGGACCGACAACCTTATGCTCAGGCTGCCTGAAAGTCTGCCCTAGAGTCCACTTGCATGGAACCGTTGTCGATCTTGCGCCCAGCGCATGTCGCGTCCGCCAATTCTCTCGCGGAGAGATTTGCCTTACGAAGACTTGTGCGCTTACGGTACAGAGTTCGATGTACAGCAGCCTGTTGATGTACCCTTCCCCCCCTTCTCGCCTTACGCCGCCCTCGCGTAATTTGCATAGTGCTTTGATGATACGCAGCTAACACGCCAATGTGGAGATCGTGGCCCGGCGGGTGTGTGTGCTGCCAACGTGGGATTCATGTAATATGTACTTCACTCCATCATTGGCACGGCTGTTGTCGATGTTATATAGAGCTCATCGAACCGCTCTTCCAGACCCGAACATCGACGTGACTGCTTTTCTGTAGCTTTCGGCTGGGCTCATCACAGCTTTCTCTCTATATACCTTACACGCGCAAACTCCGTTGACGTCCTCATCGACAACAGCACTACATACGCTCATCATGGGTTTGGCCCTCAAGCGTCCTGATGACGCCGTCGGGAAGACATGGCCTGCAATTGCTATCGGAATGTTCGTCGCCTTTGGCGGCGTCCTCTACGGCTATGTAAGCAATGGACATATATCGTCGAGTTCACTGGACAGGGCAGCAATCATTCACTTATTGTCTACTTATCTAACCGCTTTGGGCTCAGGACACCGGGACCATCTCCGGCATCCTAGTAATGCCGTACTGGGTACAATCCTTCAAGTCGCCTGGGCAAGACAGAATTACACCCTCAGAGGACTCCTTGATCGTCTCGATTCTGTCGGCCGGAACATTCTTCGGCGCGTTACTCGCGGCTCCCACGGCGGATATCCTCGGTCGCAAGTATGGCCTCATGGCATCGGCAGCAATCGTGTTCAACCTCGGAGTTATATTGCAGGTCGCGTCGACGACTCAGCCTCTCTTCATTGCCGGTCGATTCTTCGCTGGGCTCGGTGTTGGTTTGATCTCGGCCATCGTACCCCTCTATCAATCCGAGACGGCACCTAAATGGATCCGTGGAACGATTGTCGGAGCTTACCAATGGGCCATCACCATCGTGAGTGAAATCATATAGCAGGAAGTCACTGCTTCAGGGACAATTTCACTTACTGTTGACGATCAGGGTCTCTTCCTCGCGGCAATCGTCAACTACGGGACCGGACAACGTAATGATTCCGGCAGCTATCGTATCCCCGTCGCCATTCAATTCGCATGGAGTCTGATCATCGTCGTCGGTCTCATCTTCTTGCCCGAGACGCCTCGTTATCTCATCAAGCGGAACAGGCCTGAACAGGTACATTCATTCTCAAGGTTTATCACCGTCTCACGAATTGCATTAATGACCTCCTCCCAGGCTGCCAAAGCGTTAAGCGTACTACGACGAATCCCGGCAGATGACCCTGGCATCAAACACGAATTGAGCGAGATCCAGGCCAACCACAATTACGAGTTGACGTTGGGCAAGGCGACGTATCTTGACTGTCTCAAGGGCACGATCGGCAAACGACTTTTGACCGGATGTCTGTTGCAAGGCCTCCAACAACTTACTGGTGTTGTAAGTCAAGCTGGTCGGATCAAAGAACAAAAGGGAACAGGCACGCTAATACATTTCACAGAACTTCATCTTCTACTACGGCGTACGTGTGACCGAAAGATTGCCAACCACAACGACCAACTAACCACCTTCGAAAACCTCCAGACCCAGTACTTCCAAAACGCCGGATTCGCCCAAGGCGGATTCACCATCCAAGTCATCACAAAGTAGGTCACCTTTCCCCCGTCTGTCCTCCATTCACCGACTAACGCACTCCTTTCTCACAGCACCGTCAACGTCGTCTCCACAATCCCAGGCCTCTACCTCGTCGAGAAACTCGGCCGCCGCAACCTGCTCCTTCTCGGCGCCGTCGGCATGGCTGTCTGTCAATTCATCGTCGCCATCACGGGCACCGTCGCCGCGTCGACCAATCTCGATGCGCAACGTGCCGCGATCGCCTTCGTCTGCTTTTATATTTACTTTTTCGCCTCGAGTTGGGGACCCGTGGCGTGGGTCGTGACGGGTACGTTTCCTCGATGCAAATCGCGTCAATGATTGTGGGCTGCGAATATGTTTTATTGGGAGATGGATGTGCTTTTGCTGATGGTGAGATTCCCACAGGCGAGCTTTTCCCACTCAAGGTCCGCGCGAAATGCCTCTCGATAACCACTGCGACGAACTGGTTGCTGTAAGTCGGAGATGCTCGACACCTGCATCGACATGAGCTTCTCTGCCATGTTATCCGCCATGGGTCCATTGCTGACGAGTGTTGTCGTCCACCACAGGAATTTCGCCATCGCCTACGCGACGCCCTACATGGTCAACGCCGACGCCGCCAACCTCCAGAGCAAAGTCTTTTTCATCTGGGGCTCTTTCTGGTAAAGTTTCTCCTCATGCGCCATCCCATTTCATGCCTCTCCTTCTATCATCGTCACTAAAGCTTTTTTCCTGATACAAAAACAGTTTCATCTGCATCCTCTTCGTCTACTTCATGATCTACGAGACTAAAGGTCTCTCCCTTGAGGAAGTCGACGAACTCTACGAACGCGTCCAGAAGGCTTGGAAGAGCCAGGGGTTTGTCCCGCAGGTCCGGTTCCAGGAATTGGATACTACGAGGAGGAAGAGTTTGACGGAATTTGTCGAGGAGAGGAGGCGGAGTGTTGAGGGGACTGAGAATGTCGGTGGTGGGAAGGTTTGAAGAGGGAAGGTGGACTTGAGATATCTTGGAGATAGTTCTGAGGATGATATGAGATCTCGGTAACATTTCCGTACTTCTTTTCCTCCGACACAATTTACGTTTCCGAGACGATATACACGAAGCTTCTATCCCATCCGCTCGCCAAACAATCCGTTTCAAGTCCTGCCACATGCTACTACCTCCCACTTCACCGGCCCATCGTATCCCGCATAAGTGACGTGATCGCCAGTGTTCCCCGGGTTGAACGCCGCAGTCACACAATCGCCGCTCTCCGACTGATCCGAGCGCATGGGACAGACGTACGTCGTGCTGGCGCTCGGATGGTTTCCATTGCTGGGGTTGTCGAGTTCCCAGACTTCGGTGCCGTGGTGTTGGTAAATGTCGTTGGGCGTTTGGTTGATGCCGTAGGCGTTGGAGACGGGAGGGGAGCGGGGGATGGAGTCTGGAGGGGTTTGATGTCGTCAGTGGATTAGATTGTTAAGAATACTGACGGAGAAGACGTGTAGATTAATGCAGATGAGGAGAGAAGGTCTTACCATATCCGTGCGTCACCCTGATAAAATCGCCCACTTGGCTCGGACTCGCGCCGCTCTTGCCATTGAACCATTTCGCAAACGCAAAATTCCCCGTGCGTGGCTGGCCGAAGGAGTATCCTCGCGTGGTCTTCGCACTGAGACCCAGAGCGGTGTTGGTGCGGAATTCGGCGAATGCGAGTGCTGCGAGCGCGCCGCCGAGACTTCCTCCTGTGCTGAAGAGATTGTAGTTTGCGTAGGGGCCTTTGATGTTGTCGTTGATGAGTTTGAGGGTCGGACCGCGGACGGCGTTCCAGGCTGAGTGATAAGGAGAATATGTCAGCTCTGATGATCTGGTACCGAGAGGCATCACCATCGTTCACCTTCGAGGAACCCTTCATGAACCTGGCAGCCGCTGCATGTCGGGTTGCCGTAATCGACCAACTTGATCTTTGCATCTTGCTCGAAATTCTCCGTATTGGCCGAGCCAGGAAATACGATGAAGAAGGTCTTGAGATCGTCCCGACGGAGGAGTGGGATGTTGAAGACCGAGGTTCCGTCGTTGACGATGGTCCGGTTGACGTAGTTCCAGATGGTGCCACTCAAGTCCTTAGTCGTGGATGCGTTGCAGTTGTTGGTGTACTGGTATCCGACTCCGGCTCCGTCGCGGATCGTGCTGTAGTAGGAGTCACCTGAGAGCAGTGAGATCTATCAGCGTTGTAGTTAAGCTGTGATACTATGAGCCAGAGATGTACCTGCTAGTCTTGCTGCTCCCACGCTGGAGACCACAGCGGTCAGTGAAATTGCTAGGATTTTGGAATACATCGTTGCGCGCTCAGGTTTAACACGCTCTGGATGGGTGATTCTGCGAAACGAGACATTCGATCATGGACATGACTGGCATTTATATAGCTGGCAAGACGAAATCGAGAGACTCGAAGCAGCCACGATCTCGTGTGATCAATTCCTTCGATTCGCTGGCAAACATGATACAGCGAGTCGTATCATTCCGATGCCTGCTCCATCTTCGCTTACAGCAGTCGAATCCTTTCGGAGGTTTTGCGAGTGAAGACCGAGTGGTGAGCAGTCTCGTCAGGATTTCGAGGCTTAAGCAGGGCTCTCTCATTCGTCTAATGATTGATTAGATCGTCATGTGACTCACCATGGCTGACGAAAAGTCAAGCCTACTAACGGGCCTGATATAAGCGACAGTAAGCTTGCAATGGTGCTACATCATGTCTGAGGGAAACGTCCTTAGACGAGGGGCTTTGCAACGCCGATATAAGCACTACGTTCTTGGGATCAGCTAAAATCTGGTCGGACTTCAGCCAAAAGGATTTAGCTCCATTGCTAATGCAGGCACTGGGGCCAAATCGTCCTTCACGGACATAGTCGAGCATGGTCGTGGTCCAATAGACACACTCCTTGGGGCCAGGTTATTGCGCTATCTGGCAAAATTCAGAGACCCGTCGGCTGCATGTTCATACTCGTCGGCTAAATTGTCTACTGTATTTCACATCGCTTCTGTCCGAAACCAGGTGTTCCTTGCTCAAGGCCATGATTTAGGCGAGGCGCCAACAACATCATCCGTGAGGACCTCCATGGGCAGAGCCGCGGAAGCCGAAGACTTACCATGAGTCGCCTGCGTCCAGTCGCCTTTGGTGTCACATATCCCAGCTGATAGGAAACGAGCGCAGCCTACCTGGAATACATAGCATGATCGTTTCGGACGAGACGAGATTCGATGAATTAGACAATCCGACAAGCACTGCGCGCGATGCGTCCTCAATCTACTGCAAGAACGCCATGGATCATCACTCGGTCCTGGTTGGGCAGTGTGGTCCACAAGCATGGACAGACGCAGGGTTGGGTGACAAGCCCAAGGAGTGTTCGGGCACTAAAGAGGGAAATGGACATACCTGGTATTGAGCAGGGTTGATTCGTATCACTGCTGTGGATGCGTGGGATGCTGAGGTAATGGCCGGGAAGAGATATTCGGACTCGTTCAATTTGACTTGTTGCGCGTTAGCTTGGCCTTCAGAGCGGAGTCCAAAGGGGTTCGACTTACTTTCTGACATTATCTGCCCATTTCCATCCCTGGTGGCCGTATGCCATGACTAACAAGAAACGGCGAAGTGCCGACTTGTTTTTGTTTCCTCGTACGATACAAATTGTGGGCGGGACTGTTGACGTTGTACAATGATAAAATGCGAGTGCACCATGAACACTAGTCAATCTAATTGATCAACTCGGAAACGTTCATTGGCATCTCGTCGATTTGTGTTGAGTAGTACACTAAGAGAATGTCAGTGATAGGTTGATTATTTTAAACTCGTTGATCAACTCACACTCAATGTCACGAAGGATACGGACATCTTCGCTAGTGACGAAGTTGATGGCGAGCCCCTTCCTGCCAAATCGGCCAGATCGACCAATGCGGTGGATGTAGTTTTCACGGTTGGATGGCAGATCGTAGTTGATCACAACACTGACTTGCTGCACATCGATTCCTCGCGCCCAAACATCAGTGCTGATGAGAACTCGGCTGTTGCCTTGTCGGAACTCGCTCATAATACTGTCTCGCTCCTTCTGCGGCATCTCTCCGTGCATAGCAGACACGGTGAAGTTTGCCTCGCGCATCTTGTCCGTGAGCCAGTCCACCTTTCGGCGAGTGTTGCAGAAGATGACGGCTTGTGTGATCGTCATTGAGTCGTAGAGATCGCAGAGTGTGTCGAACTTCCAGTCCTCCTTTTCAACCGCAACGAAATATTGCTTCAATCCTTCAAGGGTCAACTCATCACGCTTGACCAAGATACGGACCGGATCGGTCATGAACTTTGTGGTCATGTCGAGAACATCGTGAGGGAGAGTAGCAGACACCACCACAACTTGAGTAGCCGGTGGAAGGTATCGATAGACGTCGTAAATCTGTTCGCGGAAACCACGGTTGAGCAGTTCGTCGGCTTCGTCAAGAACAAGCATTTTGATGTTGCGGGTGCGCAAGTGGCGACGACGAATCATATCGGCGACACGACCCGGGCTACCAGAGACAATGTGCTGTCCGTATTCGAGTTTGCGGATATCTTCGCCAACATTTGTTCCACCGATGCATGCATGGCATTGGACGTTCATGTAATCTCCAAGCGCAAGAAGAACAGACTGGATTTGAGTTGCAAGCTCGCGGGTGGGTGAGAGTACAAGCGCTGATACCTGGTCAGCGATGTCAGATTTGCAGTATGAACAGCACATACCTTGTGTCTCTCGGACAGCAGTGTCGATAACCTGTAGAATCGAAATACTGAATGTCGCAGTCTTTCCGGTACCAGATTGTGCTTGCGCGATCGTGTCTCTACCCTTGCAAATTTGAACGATTGCTCGGGACTGAACAGCTGAAGGTGATTCGTAGCCGTATGCATAGATTCCTCGAAGAAGGTTCTCCTTCAAGTGCATCGCCTCGAAAGTGGGCGCAACAGACACTTCTTTGGACGTGGAGAACTCCATGCGTTCATCCGCCTTGCGGTCGATGCCTTCGTCCGCCATTGTGCCGATTTGTCAAGCTTTCTGCAATTTGTTTGAGGGACTCTGATGGTGCTTTCCAGCAAGTGAGTATAGACTTCACGTGCGATGCAGGGAATGTGCAGAAGAAATTCGGTTGCGACGTCAAGCTACCTAGGTATACGCCATGTAGTTTTCAAGCTTTAACGTACCCTACCACCGAGCCGGTCACACCACCGAGCCGGTCAAAACGCGCCCACAACGCGTCTTCGAGCTTCTTCCTCTTATTATATGACAATATTTGCCTACAATGCTCTCTCAAACTGAGGGAAGACTTTCTTTAGCCCTTCAAGCATATATTACCCACCAAGTTCCATCTCTTCGAGCTGCAGCAAATGCATACGACGTTCCATTTGAAACCCTCCGCGAAAGACACCTCGGCATCCACCCACGCGCGCAAACCCTTGCGAACTCGCGTAAACTCAACAATAATGAAGAGCAGCTCATAGTCGAGAAGATTCTCTATTTATCGAAGCAAGGATTCCCTCCTCGGCGCGCTGTTGTTGAAGATATAGCGAATACAATGCTGCGA